CATGCTGTGAAAGAAGATATGCAGATCAGCCATCAAAAGTAGCTGATAAAGGACACCAATGCTCTAAAGACTTTTTTTTTTTTAATATATAACTTATACCATGTCTTAGTATTCACATGATAGCACTAAATTTCATTCATGTAAACAATTAAAGTTACAATTATGAGCTATGAACACTAGTGTCACCAGTTCCCTGTATGTGAGGAAATTATCATCATATGGCTACTTAGAAGCTGGTATGAGTAAGCCACATAAACTTGTAACCCATTTAATGCTAGCTCATGAACTATTAGATTTAAACCAAAAAAAAAAAACCAAAAAAACTCCTGGCTCCATACAGGACTTCCCAAAATCAAACCCTTATGTCTGAGAGCACTGTCCAAATGTTCCTTGAACTATGGCAGCTTTGTGCCGGGAGCACTGCCCTTGTTCCAGCACCTGACCACCTTCTCAGTGGGGATCCTCCTCCTAGAATACAGAATGGGGCAAAGCAAGACATCACCAATTTGGAAGTAATTCCACAGTACTCTGGAAATTACAGACTTCAGAATGGAAGCAGGAGATACTATAGGTCCTTCGTTTCTGGTTTTAAGAAGGAAAATAAAAAAAAGAAAAAAGTATGAATGTTCCAGCTAGTTACAGAGTAAATAAAAATGAGAGCAGGGAAAACCAAAACGATAGATGCTACTACGTATACACAGACTGAGAATGCCCAGCTGCTTGAACATAACTATTTCAAGAGTAACCTTTGCAAATCAATATTTACAGGTCTGAGGATAGTTCAAGCAAAATCAGCAGCGAAGAGCAGAAAAATGACGTGTAAAAAACTAACACAGTAAAGCCCATGCAAGGGAGCTGCAATAGGTTTTACCAGAAATCCCATATGCATTCAAGTACTATGACAAAAACATAACCATAATAATGTAAGTTGATGCTACATTTGCTGATGTTTCATTTGGATAAACTTTGTTTGGATTTCAGGTATGAGAAAATTAAAGTGTTAATAATTCAAGAGAGGAAAAAAAAAGTGTTGCAACTTTGTGTCTTAATACAGAAACAAACAAAAATGTAATAGCATTGATTTACAACATTAATAAAACATACTAAGAATAAGTCACAGAACAGCAAAGCTGCGAGGTGCATCTGTGATCAGGAACGTTTAGAGGCATTAGCACAATCATACTGTCATTTCAAGTATCATATGTTGGCTTAATTTAGTTGAGCTTGCTAGTCCAGCAAAAACTTTCCTAAAAGAAGCTTCCCCCTAGAAGCATAATTTGTTCTAAATGTTCTTCATGTGATTCATTGGAAGACACTCTGTGCTATCTGTTGCAAAGAAAATTTGGAAGCCTCTATTTCTGATGGAACTCCCAGAAAGATTTTAAGCAAATGAGTTTTGACACAGTTTGATAAAAGCAGGTCCTCACAAATATAACATTTGAACATATTTTTAAAGATACGTTTCTTAGGTTCAGAAATTCAAACAATATACTCTTTTTGCTTATAATCAAACAGTAATTCTAAACTGATTCTTAAACTATCTGCAAGCAGAAATTAGCAGTAAGCACTAGCACACAATTTGCTATCAAAAGAAAGCAGAGAAAAAAAAACTAATTTGGAATCAGAAGCTCCATAACTTTTAGAAAAGCAGCATCTCGTTCCCTGAATGGTTTTTCTCTGAACATTATTTCAGTACTCTAAACATACATAACAGGATTTTTAGATAAATTACTAAAAATATGAGTTACTGTGTGTAAAAAGAAACACAATGACATACAACTGCCAGATAAGTGAAATCAGTTCTGTGGAATTTCTCTATATCCAATACTAATACTGCACATTGATCTTGATCTACAACACCCTTTGAATTACAAAAGAAAGACAACATCTCAACACAACTCAATATCTCAGCAAGTGAAAGTTCTAAGGAGAAAAGAGTTACCAAAACTTAGGTTCAGGCCACTTAAGCTGACAAACAATTATCTAGATTCTTCTTAAGAGTTCAGATATGGGTCTTACTTAATTCAAAGAAGTATTTGTACAGTCCTCAGTACAGGTAATAATTTTTTTTTTTAATCCCACAGGATAATAGAAAATGTATATCATGGAACACCTAATTGCCTACAGAAGCAAAAGCAAACTTGATTGCTGAAAAGTGACCTATGATTATACAGTGGCGGTGAATACGTTGTCCCAATTTCTTTCCAGAGCCAGCTCCACCTAGTTCTCCTACTCAGGAAAGTAGTAGTTGTCACTTTATACAAAACACCTCCCAGGACAAGACTGTCAATTACTTTAACAGAGTACAGCATACCTGAAAAAACAAAAACATAGCAAATAGAGTACTCCAGTTAAGAAAAAAACAAATTTATCTCATTTATTAATGAGAGTAGAGAAGAACAGCAGATTTTTGTCTACTTAACTTCAGGGACACTCAAGTCTAATTATAGAAAACTAAAATTATGAACCTCAAAGATGATACAGAAGCAAGTTGAATTCAAATCAGGTAGATCACAGCGCTATATAGAAAATGTACTCTTCAACTAAAATAAAAAGAAAAGCTATCTTGATCACTCCAGATGGCCAACAAGCTTTCAGTAAAGTCACCCTTAGTATCTGGAAAGACAGAAACTTACCATAAACTCTTTAGGTAGCAAAAGAGAGAAGAAAATTAAAGCATGAAGAAATCAATACAATGAACAGGTGAGGAAAAGTAGTTCAAATCCTATTAAAATGCTGGAAGTCTTAGGAAAAAAAAGCTTTACAGAGTGGCTGAAGGGAAAAAAAAAAAGTTCTCCTAACATTAAAAACTCCAAAAAAGTTTTCAGTCAAAGCACCGATTACAAAGTTAAAAAGACTTAGATGCAAGGTTGGCTAAAAAAACACACAGAAATTAAATATTACTCAAAGTTGAATCACATGTTTAGAACAGCCTCAAACTTCCTACTCTACCTCTACAGTGAGCCTTACACACCAGTGAAACTTAACACATGTTTATTCTCAACAGGATCCAATAGTCTGTCCAAGGCACTTCTTCAAAGCGTATTTTAATGCATTGACATATTGTCTGCCCGCATAGAACATAAGCTACATTTCTCAATAAAGACCAGGAATGCCTAACAGCTGTAAAAAAACCCACAATCAGTGTTTTCTCTAAAACAGAAAAGGGGTTAACCTAATGTAAACTGTAAAGGATCATATGTGAAAGTTACAGATTTCAGCTATCAACATCAGCTAAGTGTAGACCCCAGTGAGTGCTAGACTCATGTACTAAATCAGCACGCAATGGATGACAAGCCATGATTAACACAAAATCATAAAACACACAGTTTAACAAGTAGCAGTTTTAGTGAAATAAGACTACTGCAATCAATATCTGAAATATGTGCTTATTCCAAACTGTATCAGGAAGGATACAGAAAGATTCTAGGGGGAAAAAAAAAAAAAAAAAAACAGGAAAGTGTTAAACCACCATACTCAAGCAGGTCACAAACTCCTTAGCTGTAAATGTGACACTAATATATTGCCACAAAAATAACCAGCATGTCTGATGTCTGGAAGAACCTTCAGTTTGGAGCTGGAAATTGAAAAGAAGCTCTCCTTAAATATCTCATGTGCAAAGTAAATCTAGTATTAACGCTGTCTGCAAAGCCCTTCAAAATTAAAAGCTAGGCAAATTACAAGTCCTTCCACTGACAGAGGCCAGACGGACAAACCTCCATTTCTTCCGAGCCGTTTATCAGCTTCATGTTAGACTAAAGTTAGCTACTCGATGTGATCTTCAGAAAGACATTTAAAATGTGCGTGAAGCACTGGTGGCAGAAGCAGTGCCATTTTCCCAGTAACACTACACATATTACCACCAAAATCATCAGTCACTGACTCTAGAGGCTGAGTGGCTCATTCTCCCCACAGGCGACCCTTCGCAAGCGAAGGCAGGCAGGACAGGGCACGGGGCCCCGCGTACAGAGCACAGCACCCGCACCAGGGCTCGGCCTCACACAAGGTCCCCTCTGCTGTACTACCCTCCCCAAGGCCCCACAGCCTTTGGGGACAGGCGAGCGGCCGCCACCAGCCCCTCTCCAGCAGTACCATCGCCCCTCCGGCCAGACAGAGACGCGTGACGCCCCTCGCGAAGCCCCTCTCCAGCGCGAGGCTCTCTCGCGGGCGACACTCGCCCGCCCCCGGGCACTCCGGGCCTAGCGCTGCCTTCTAACCCCCGCCGGGCCGCGAGCCACCTCGCAAGCCAGCGCAGCGCAGCCCGGCTCCCTCACACTCCGGAGGCCCCGCGCAGCCCTTTCCTTCTTCCCCCGCACCGGGCCCGGCAGCCGTCGCCCCGCGCCGTTCCAACGCGGCCCCCATCCCGGCGCCCACCCCGTCCCGCTCACCATGGGGCGGCGGCAGGCCGGGCGGGGGCGACGGTGGCGGCAGGCCGGGCGCCGGTGCCCCTCTGAGGAAGGACGGCACGAACTCGGCAGCGTGCACGTTGGGCACGAAGGGCTTAGCGTTGACGTTCAGCTGCCGGCTGAACGCCGCCCCGAGCAGCTCCTGCTGGGCCTCGGCCTCCGCGGCCGGCGGGGCGGAACCCGGGCTGGCGCCGCTGCCCGTCTCGATGTCCGCCTGATCCCAGCAGTCAGGAGCCGAGTCGCTGCTGCTCCCGCTGCCGCTCCCGTTCGCCTCCATTTTGTGGCTGCCCCACAAGCCCCTGCGGCCCTGAAGCGTCTCCCAGCGTCCGGGGTAAGAGGGAAGCCGGCGGCAGCACCGACTCAGCACTCGCTCCGCCGATTCCGCGTGCACTCCGCCGCCTCGACGCGCTGCTTAGTATGGCCTCCCGCAGTTGCCGTACCCCCTTCTTCCGCCCTCCCGACCCGCCATTTCAGTAGTTCTTAGCTGCCCGGGGCCTCGCCCCGCAGTACGGACCAGAAGGGGTGCGGGAACTGCAATGCCCATCGTGCATTGCGCCACACCACCTCCCCGGAAGAGATGGGAAATGTAGTTATCTGCGTCTTCTGCGTGCTCAGAAACCACACTTCCCGTCAGTCTTGGCGCTCGCCTTTGGTTCGTGCGGTCTCCGCCTGCAGTTTCTGGGGAGATGGAAGGGGTAGTTGGCGCCAAGGCTTCGGCAGAGCCAGAGCTCTGTACGTGCCCTAGCAGCCCTGGCGCCAGCGTTCTCTCAGGAGGTGCTTGTGGCTGCTCCGCGGAACTCTGGGAAAGGCGGTTCGGAAATGCCGTGGGAAGTAGCAAGCTGCTCTGCTTCCCTTATGCCGCGTGGCGGGCGGTTAGGAGCGGCTCGGGCAGCGGTCACGCAGGGCGCTGCGTTGTAGGGGTGAGGAGCGAGTCCTGGGCGCTCCCAGGGGCTGCGTGCAGAGCAGCCGTCGGTCTGGCCAGGCTCTGCTTCTGTCTGAGCTCCGGCCCCACAGACCTGACTTCTGGGGCAGGTGAAGGCACGCTTCAGTGACGGGATGCATTAGAAGTTGTGAATCTGACATTCTCATAGCAGACTGACTCAGTTATCTGTCATAAGAAAACTCCAGTTAAGCTGGATTAGCTGGGACGTGCCAGGTATTGAGACTTGTGACTGATAAGGTCTGATAAGAAGAACTGCTTTTATACAAAACAAGAAGAAAACCCAACCTACAACAACAAAAAAGGCACTCTAGAAGGAAGTATCTTTGAAAATGAAGGGAAGGTACAACAAGGGCAGGCTGCAGACTGTTAAAGTACTGAGGCTTAAAATTGAAGTGTGAGAATTTCAATTCAGTGCAAAATCCACTGCAGTTTTGGTTGGCACGAATTCTCCTGAGCAGTGTTTATGTAACTTAATCCTGACTGAAGAGCAAGGTGATTTCTGGCTGTACAGCAGCAGCACGTGTGCCCGTGAGAAGAAAAATTCTAACCCATGGGTAATGTAGGTGTTGATTCACAGCTGTGCTTCTGACATGTCATATCTAGGAACAATGCTGTAGTTCAGGACAGCACTTAGGAAAGCTAAAAATTCTCCATCAATACTGCAGATAATGCACTTTAAAATAAATAAATAAACAATATCATTCACAATTAGAGACTACACCTCTGCCCAGTGGAAGTCTTCAAGTACCACTAGCATACCATCACCAGGACTAGAGACCCTGTGAAAGGTAATCTGATTGCTCCCTGGTGCAGAGATCATTTGTAGTTCTCAGGCATAGATTGCCAGGGCTTCTGTTACTCATTGTGGAGTGTAATTAGGAAGATTCTAAATAGTACTGCAGTAACATAGGTGAGAGTTTAAGAAAACTACAAGCAAGTTTCTGAGCTGTCATTTCAGAAGAGAGCAAATCGGGGAAGAACCATACCAGTATCTGGTAAAGGATTTTTTTAAGACACTCAGTACTTCATTGCTTTTTTTTTTTTTTTTAAAAAAAAAAAAAAGCCTTCACTTGAAGACTTGAAGGTGTAGAAATTGAGTTTCTGTTTGTTTGGTTTTTTTCTTTCTTTTTAGAGAACAACATGCAGTTCTATGAAGGGCAGGATGAGAAGTGGGAATGGTATGGTTTTCTCAGGAGATTAGAGGAAGCAGTTATAAGGAAAGCTAGAGAAGTAAGGAATACATTGTACAATTTTATTTTATTTCTTTCCTGCCTGCAAGGCTTTTATTAACTTTTGAAAGCATTGTTCGGCTTTAGCAAATTTCACAAGAGATGAAAGTTAACTAAGTTCCATCAGTTTTTGTGGAAAGAAACAGATGGATAAAGGAACAAGATTTACATTTGTAATTTCACTAAGCTGAGATAGAAATAAAATTCTTTTCCCTAGTGGTAACAACATTTGTAGCAAAAAAATAGGAGCTTATTTGTTACCTCTGTTGAATAAGAGATAAAAAATAGTGAGAACCAAGTGAATTCCACTGGGAACCAAGCAAAGTGAATTCTGCTGACACAGTGGCTTCTTATTGTATGCTTTTTCCATTGTTGCGAGCTTTTAATAAGTCAAGTTTATAGTGACTACAGTGCTGCACTGCAAGCTTGTGTTTTCTGTCTGAGCCTTGATAAAGCCTGCAAGTCAGGCAAAGCTTAACTGGAGGCAGGTGTTACTTTTTCAGAGTAATTAAGATTACTAGCACACGGAACATGTAGGCAGCAATTCTTATGAACACTTTGGCATTCGTTAAAAAGACTTTCTTAATGACAGCTCCCAAATACCAAGTTGTGCTATTTGTTCTCTTCCCTTAGCATTTTTTTTTTTTTTTTAAAGGAGGGTCACACATACAGAGGCATTCATGTATGTATTACCACTGTTTTCAAAGGAAAAGAATTACTTGTGGTGTCCAACATTCATTCCTTCCTTGTCTGATACTAGTTCCCTAGGTACTTGCTAAAATATGAGCAATTTGTCTACAGAGTTTCAGAAGGGATCAGACGTCCTTCAGAGTCTACAAACCTGTTTTGCAGGCTGTGTCACTCATAGGAATTATGTAAACTCAAACATTACATTTTTAACAGAGCTAGTAGTTTGTTTTTCCACTTAGGAACAGCTGATAAGCAAAACAGAACCTAAAAGGAATCATGAAAATTCCAGTGGCAAAATATATACTGGAATGTAAATGGTGATTGATATTCTCTTTAGGTTTTAAAACATGTGAAGTATTATAAAATCTTTCTTTGTTTAAATCTCTCTGCATTAAAATGCTTAGAATAAATGTGCTAGCTCTTCATTTAACAAATACTAAAAAAAAAATTTCTCAGCGAGAATCACCTATATATATGTGTATTCATCATCACGTCATAACTGGCTTACGTTATCAAAGTGCTCCTCATCCAAGGTTCTTACAAATACATCACACCCCAGCAGATATACTGAAGGACAAATTTTTTATTTTTTATTTATTTTTTTTTTTTTTTTGCTAGAAGACTTCACGTAAGTTAACAGCTTCAAACAGTTAACTGCTCACAACTAACAGGTAAGGCCAAAACACAGCAGTCAAAGGGGGAAGGAGAGTGATTTTAGGGTACTGGCTAAATTGATTCAGTTTACATTAAGATCAGATCAACTCCTGAACTGTTGTAAAATGGGAAAGGAAAGCATTTGGCTGAGACTGGGAGGAGTACGAAAGGAACAACACCTCCCTTTCTGGTGTGGCAGCAAGCTGAAATGCAACTGACGCACTGTGACGCCATGCCCTGAAACTAAAAAGGTATTTAAATATGTACATTTAGTTATGCACTTAAATGTGCAGCCTGCTATTTAGAATTGCTTTGAAGTCATCTCAAATCTTTAAAAATAAAGCCAAAGGAACAAGTTATTTACCTAAGAAGAAGAAAAGACAAAATTTGCAAGCTAAATTACTAATATTAAAAGAGGAAGAACATAAGATGCAGTGTTTGGCTTTGGAACTGCCATTATAGAAACATAGCTGTTTATATGAAGCATATGTGAAAAGACAATCTCAAAAGGTATTCTGTAAATTAAATTGAGCATTATTTAAAAAAAGCAAGTGGAGTTAGATGCGTCAAAGTCTTTGTGGAAGATGTGGATTAAGGATGTATCTAAATTCAAGCGATATACTCCCCTTGAGGGAAAACTGCATAAGATTTTTTTTCCTCTAAGTAACTTTCATATATTCACTAGGCCTGGCACAGAATTGAAAATACTGAACTATCTTCAGTTTGATTAGGTGCCGGAAAACAATACTTCAAAACTCTACCAGATTTCTTTGCGGGTAGTCCCTGGAGATGTAGCTGCGAACTAGAGAAAACATAGCCACATTATGTTTTGGCATTATGACTTTTTCAAGATCTGAGTCTGTCCTAAGTTTTGCTGGTGTTCTTGAAAGAGTTAAATGAGCTACAAAGAAGCTTTTATGTTTGCACAAGAGCATGTATAATCCAGACTGAAGTATCTTGACCTGGAAATGTATTTTCAATGATTAGTTTGTTGTAACACTGCTATTTTTAACAAACACAGTTTCAGACCTATTACTCTCCCTCTTTTGGACACTCACATGGTGGCTGTATTTTGTTTTGTCTTACATGAAGTCTTTCTTTTAAGATGTTAGACTGGAAGAGCTATACATAAAATTCTTTTTTTGCCTTTCTTTATGTGGCACTGTAGCACCATAAATTCTCTTCCATAATCCAGTCATAGAATTGCACCAAGCTCACAAATCGGTAACCTCAATGCAATTCAGCAACTTAAGTCTTAGGCATTTCATTGTGGTTTGGTGAAGAGTACTTCTGATCTGTACTCCTCTTTTCAAAGCCTCTAATCTAGAGTTAAAGCCTTTCTTTTGAAATAGTTGAAGCACAAACTGGAGGTCTCACAAAGGGTATAAAATCCTTTGTTTTTACTTTAGGAAGGAAAACAACAAGAACAACAACAACAAAACAACAACAACAACAAAAACATAGAACAACCAGTTAAAGTACTGAAGTAGCTGGGAATAAATCTTGTTAAATACAGACCAGGTTTGTGTTCACCCGTTCTTACGCTTTCATCTTATGATTTTGTTACTTTGTTAGCAACATTATGATTAGGACTTCTGCTTCATCACAATAAATTTGCCTTTGCTGATGAGTTTGTTGGATGAGTTTGTGGAGAATAAACATTATGAACATAATAAGTTAATGAGCATAATATGTTTAGATTCTCTGGAAGCAACAAACTGAAACAAATTGAAGCATATTTTGGCTCTCCTGAGATGTATCTGAGAATCTCAGGGGCTGACATGCTGAGTTGACTGAACAACAATGGTAACTTTTAAGTATCAGTCCTTCAGAAGATTTTCTTCCACTGTTTATAAGTTGTGTTATTCTAGTGCAAATGAAATAATGGAGAAAATTTACAACTTTGATTACCATGAAATTTTCAGGTTTTTACCTTGATGTAGAAGTTTTAAGAAGTAGCTAGCATTGAAAGTGGGGCTTATGGTCTAATACAGATACACAAGGCAAGTCCCTAATATCAAGGAGTTCAGCTGCAGCAGATACAGTTTTTCGAGGCTGTTAGTAAAGAATGTGAGACAGTGAAAATCTTGATCTTAGTTCTGAAAATATTCATATACGGTGTTAATGCAGGGTGCTTAGAATGTTGCTTATTCACACCTTTTCTTATTGCATTGATTAAATGACATAGAGAGGTCCAGCTACCATGGCCACTATTGGGCTCTGTAGCATTTCTAGGCTAGATCTCCTGCAATATACAAGAGTTTTATTACATTTATGTTTCACATAGAAATTTTACATGCTATCTCCTGGGAAGTGGCAATAGAAAATTAGTTCAATGCAGGATTTTCATATGTGTCTTCCCCCACACCCCCCCGTTCTCAATTCTCCAAAATTTCACTTTCAGTCTGGTCCTTTCTTGAACCACATGACTCAACAGGAAGGCTTCACCAACCGGACACCTGTCAGACTCATACCCTTAATGACAGCATTCTAACAAGTATTAGTGTATTCCAACCTTCCTTGCACAATGCTTTATATATTGTCCTTAGTAGTTCCATAACTATTTTGGCACATGTAGAATATCAGACAAATAAAAAGATTATCTTCCTTCCCAGAGGGGAAGTTCTATTATCATAGCTTTTATTTCCTATATACTTATTCTTTTCTGTAATGATTGCTATTTTAATTACTGCTTTTTAAGGAATATTTCTCCCTTAAGTTTTTCATTTTTTAATCTTCTTTAGAGATACTAGATGCATTATCACTCTTCAAAGCAGTGGCCTAATTAAAGTATGCTGTACCAAACAGGAAATATCCACAGTGCTCTTTATTTTGTACTGTGCTGGAAGAAAGTTAAAAAATCTTGTGCCTAAAAATAGCATTGTTCTTTGCTGAATGTAAAAGTTAACGAACACAACAAATTGTTTAATAGCCTCTTTATTATTTTTTTATTAACTGTGTGTACCCAATCCCTAGAACAGCTTATCTGCTTCCAGCCACAGAGTTAAAGCATGCAATTAACAAAAAGTGGATTTCTGAAAATAACTGTTTCAGATAATTTCAGTGCTTTTTTAGGAGATAATTGTCTGTTCCTTGAAGTTCAGTAATTTTTTTGAAGAAAAACTGATGTGCTTTTTTGTAGGTAAATTCATCTCACAAATCTTAAGGACTATTGTACTGAGGCCACTTAAAAAGGACTTTTTTCTTTGGACTTTTTCAGCAAATATCTTTAGAGAATTAGAGAGGACTGAGACAAAGACTACAGTGCCTCTACTAAAAGACTGAAAACTGTAAGTCAGCTAGCTGTCTTAGTGAGTGGGGGAAAAAATTACATATACTACTCAGAAGATCTGTGTCAGCACAAAATGACCAGTGTAGGAGCACTCTACAGCCAGAAGAATTCCTCTGTGAGTCTTAGCTAATGTTGTTTGCGAAGGGAATGCAACAGCCTTTGCAGAAAACTTTCTCTTGTTAAGTACTATGTAATTGTGCCAACAGAATTTCTGAAGTACAGTCAGGCAAAAAAGCTGCCAGAAGCATTAGCAGAAAAACCCCAAAGCAGTCTCTAAACAAAACTTTGTTGAAGTAATTTTTGGTTACATAGACCTTAGGCTAATGGCCTGAAGGATGAATTTCGGTCATCATAAACGTAATTATTGACATAATAATGCTTTATTGAGTATATACAGAGATTTCATTTTGTTATCTTAATGGTGAAGCTTAAAATAAGTGCTTTAATTTAATTAATTTATTTATGTGTTTGTCCCAAATTGAATAGTGAAAGACAAAATTCTCCTTACTTTTTTTCAGCAACTAATTCCTGCCACCTAAGTATTACCAATTGAGCACATGTAATGACATGAAATTGGCACTGATAGGGATTTCTGGGAGTATTAGGCTTCTCCAGATGTCAAAATAAACCAGCAGTCAAATTTGAGTTCATGGCAGGAAATGCTTTAGCTGGACGTTCAGTGCTTGGTATGCCTACATTCTGCCAAGGAGACATGTAACTCTAGGTCTTATCGTAACAAAATATTATTGCATATAATTACATCTTAGAACTTTCCCTGCATCTTAAAACTTTCATTAAGACTAGGAACATAGTTGAAACATAATGAAACTTGGATCCTTAAAAACTGTATGTCTGATACAGTGTGACATATATACTATATTAACTTTTTTATAATTACAGACTCTTCTGTGGAGTGGAATGATATTCTGATGGCTAATACTGAAAGCAGTGTGCATACAGATGGAATTACACTCACTTCAAAGTGAAGCATTAATGTATTCAGTGGAAGAATGCACTTGTAGTGACTGCGGCTTGGTAAAACCTCAGTCTGGCTGTGAAACTCGACTTCTATTAGCAGCTACAGAAGAAGGAGCTGCTGTTCCAGTTACTGCAAAATCTTTTGATTACTGCAACTATATTCTGGGTGCTAGGTGCCTATGACAGTGGTACATTTTTACTGCATAATAATAAATCAATTATTCCAGTAAAGCTATTAATACTTGCAGTCAGTGGGGAAGGCTAGTGCATCCTCCTGTTATACTCTGCCTTGAACATTCACTGTTACATTATTTCTAATTCTAGTGTGTCTTTGGTCAAGTATTTCTATATTAGAAATTTATTTATTATTTAGAAACACCAATCCATTTATTGGAATTTTTAATTTCTGGAAGTCTCTGTGTAGAATGGCTCTTCCAGTGTCTTGAGATTCCATCTGCTTATGTGAGATATTTAAATAAATTTGAAATTATGTGTTTCACGATAAAAATCAGATCTTATGCTGAAAATTACTTCAGGCAGACACGAAGACTACATAGCATTCCCAGTCTTGTAAAGCGTAGTTGCAAATAAACCTCTGATGCTTGAAATAAGAACGGCATATGTCTTTACACCGGACAGTACCTCCGGGTCACACTGGAGCAGGCTGTGGTTCTGTGAAATGCCATACGTGTAATCACAATGTATTTCCTGATGGTGGAGAATTTAATTGCCAGCCACTTTTCAGAATGTGTTCTATAAAAAATTTGTAGCTGCATAGGTTTGGCCATCATACTCATAGCCAACAACTCTGAAATAGGTCTACAGCACTGTTACAGTTTTTATTATTATTGTATATTATATATATACCTATATATATATATAATATTGTATATTATTATATATACCTAGGAGCCCTTGACAAGAAGACTATGATCTGCTGCAATGCGGTAAGTGTACAGCACTGTGTAAGTAGTGAGACAGTGCCGAGAAGCGAGTGCACAAAATTTAAGAAAATGACTTCATTACGTTGATAGTGGAGGTTGCACGATTCCTGCACCGTTTTTGAAGCACGATCCTCTGCGGCACTGCAGCACGCTGTGACACCCGGCCTCAGCTCTGCCGCGTCCTGCCGCCGCGCGCTGCGCCTCTGGACCTTCGAGGGCTGCCGCCTCCTCACAGGAGGGCGGGAACGCAGCCGCTGCGGGGCGAAGGAGGCCCTGCGGGGCGGAGGCTGCCGGCGCGGAGCTGTGTTTACTTTCCGGGGCGGCGGGGCGGCTTTCCGGGGCGGTGCGTGTGCGGTGCTCGGCCCGGATTGGGGCTGCGCGGGCTGAGGGAGCGCGTCTGGTGGAGGCACGCTGCGAGCCCGGCGGCCACCATGAGTGGTGAGTGTGGGGCTCCTGTGGGGCCCGCTCCGCCGCGCGGGGTCTCTGAAGCCGCCGGGGCCGCGGCGCGCTTGGGCTGAGGTGGCCGCAGGGACCCCCGCCCGGCGAGGCGTGGACCTGCACCGAGGGCCGAGGCGTCTTTCCCTTCCCCGCGTTTGTGCAGTAGGGCTGGGGGCTGCGAGCGGGCACGATGTCTGCCAGGCCACGCGGTGCGAGGTGCGGCTCCGTAGAGATGGTGTTGTGCCGCGCTGTGTCTCGCCCTCGGCGAGCTCAGGGCACGCGAGTGATGCTGATCTCCTAGGTTTCCACTGCCTTGGCTGTGCGAGGCCACAGAAAATAAATACTGAGAGAAAAGAAATGCTCAAGAATAACTTAATCTAACAAACGAAAAACTTCATCATGTAGAATTGATGAGACAGAGGAGAAACGTGATGGGAAGAAAAACTGGTTCATAAGAGTATTTAAGGTGTATCTGCGCCTTGAGTACGGTGTTCAGTTCTGAGCCCCTCACTACAAGAAGGACACCGAGGCCCTGCAGTGTGTCCAGAGAAGGGCGATTGAGCTGTGAAGGGCCTGGAACACAAGTCTTATGGGGAGCAGCTGAGCTAACTGGGATTGTTGAGGCTGGAGAAGAGGAGACTGGGGAGGCATTATTGCTCTCTGCATCTCCTTGAAAGGAGGTTTTAGCGAAGTGGGGGTCAGCCTCTTCTCCCAGATAACAAGATGACAGGAGGCAATGGACTTAGTTAAATTACGCAGGGGAGGTTCAGATTGGATATTAGGTAAAGTTTCTTCTCAGAGGGAATAGTAATACACTGGAACAGGCTGTGCAGGAAGGTGGTGGAGTCACCATCTGTGGAGGTGTTCAAGAAAAGGGAAGATGTGACATGGTGTAGTGGTTATGGTGGTGATGGTTGATGACTGGACTAGATGATTTCAGTGATCTCTTCCAACCTTATTGATTCTATTATGTCTGTTTGCCAAACTCAGATGTGACAAGGAGGCCTTGTTTGTGGGGGTATTCACTTGCAGCCCCAGTGTTCCTTACCTGACTTTTGTGTCCCTAAGAGTTGGAGAAATTTAAGCCACTTGACTAGGCCAGCATGAGTTGTTGATGAGTTGGAGGGAAGGATCCTGGTAGTCAACAGATATTTTGCTGTAAATATGACAAGATAACTGGTACCTCATATGTCTTGAAGCACATATTTATAAATGTTTTATTATTAGTTAGTTTGTTTTGCTAAAGAAGGAAGGTGCATCAAAGATACTTTTCATGGCTCTGTTTAAACAATAATAAATTCAATAATAGATTTATTTATACAACTTCGATAATAGGTATCTTCTCCAAACTTGAGTGTTGTCTTTTCTGTTATAGGTTTTTCTTCCATCTTGATTTAAGGTATGGGGAGATTGCTTGCCAAATGTGCTAGGAAAAAAATTGAAGAGCTAACTGGGATAACTAAATGCTGTACTTTTTAGGGTCAGCAGCCGTTACTCAAAATGAAACTGCAAATGAAAACATCTGTAGTTTTCTCTGTTTTATTATTGTGGTAGGCAGAAAATAAGAAATTCTCTTAGAAGAAGAGATGTTTTAAAAAAAAGTTTTGTGGAGAACTGTTAATTGGTGTTGTGAAAAATGCAAGTAACTGTCAAACCTTTCAAACTGTGGGGGAAAAAGATGTTTCTTAAATGCTTCAGGTCTAATTCTGAAGTCCTTAGGAGTCTGTTTTCTCATGAAAAGCCTCAGCCCTTCAGTTCAGGCTTGGAGTAGCCTTCTGCAAATCAGCCTTTGTGTAAATCAGAGCAAAGTCTTTCTAAGAGATGCATCTTTGGGAGCTCCATTTGAATTATGTTCTTTGACTCAAAGGCAAGGTGGCATCTTTTGTGGTGAAAAGCCTTATTTTATTAATATATATATACATTTAATAATGGATTTAGAATTAAAGGACAAAAAAATATTTAATTGCTTAAAAGAAAAAAAAAGTAATAATGTGACATTAAAGCTAGTAATCCAATTGCTTGGCTAATCTACCTGTGTGTAGCCCATGCCAAGACCTATATGAGTTTTCCATTTTGATTAGATGCCAAGCTAAAAAAAATGAATATTAATTTTGCCCTTTGTTAAATATCGATGTTACGAAATACTATGCAGGGTTTTTGTTGTTGGTGATGGTGGTGTTTTGTTTTTTTTTTTCCTCAGAATAGCATAAATAGAAGAATTAAGGACAGAGGAATGTTTGTTTCCTTTATCTGAAATAAATGTAGCTAACAGTAACGTAACATAAGATTGTTATATGGGGAGGGAATAGCACCATGGTCTATGCTTATCTCCCTACCCAATTTTAGCCCTTAAAAGAGCTGCTCCTGGATATTTGACCTCCTTTCCTAACGGCTACCTCAATATATAACATGTATTTTTAGCTGTAGTATATTTCTAGTGGATGTGAAGGCCACTTCCTGTAGATTTTAGCATTACTTAATACTGCTAATTACTTACTACTGTTTCATTGGGCAGTGTTGAAAAAGCTGAACTTTAAAGGGAAATAATATGAGGTTACTAGATTTATGTACTTGTCAAAAATTAGGCATGTTTTGTGTCAGTTTTATGACAGTTTCACAGCACGTGAAAATAAGGCTTGTTGAGGATGAGGCAGTAGAGTTGTAGTGTAGTACTACAGGGTAGTGTGCAGGTCAGGTCTGGGTTGTCCTCTGAACTGGTACTAGAGCAAGCAAAAGCAATTACAGCCTGAGCTTTTATGTACAGGACTTCAAGAGGTATGTAAGAGAATTCTGAATTTTTGTTTTTAATCTGTATTTTATAAATGATGAAGACAACCATACTTGCAAATAATTTGCTGGAAAACCTGTTCTCCTTAGTTGCATAATGAACATCTGCTTTGTGTGTAGATATTTCTGTTACAGAGGCAGGTGCAGCGCACCTGAGGCTATTTTGAACTTTTCGACTGAGTACTAGGAGATGAGAGGAGACTTTTGTTTTTGCTCTTTATACTTATGTTTTCACTTCTTTTTGTCTAGAGTTATGTATGAACTTCCTTTTTTAATCTTTTTTTCCTGTAGTATTCTAAATATAACACCGTTCCAAGTAATCCTTTTTTTGTTTGCCTTATGTTTTGTATTTGTACGCATTTTACTGGAGTTGGATTTTTGCTCTCCTTAATCTATCGGAGGGTATTTTGGTCACTTTGTAATGCACTTGTTATTTAAACAATATAGAACTGATCACACTTTATGTTTTTTTCTGAATATATGCGTTTGCTTAAAGACTTTCTGCGATCTTAACAATTTCCTAAATAGAACAGAATCTTTAATAGAGTTCGTAGAGACTCGTTTTTACCTTCCATCTACCTTGAGTCAGAATTAATTTCTAAAATTTTCAAAAAATTGTTGGTGTACTATATTTTCTAGGCTTATTACAAAGAATAAGAATCTATGCTTTGCTTAAAAAATGACACAATTTCTCAATTTCTAAAAAAAAATTAGACTGTGAAAATTATTTTTGTCTAGAATGAACTTGGTATGTTAGACATGGCAATAGTTGAGTTCTGCAGACTTGCACTGATCAAAAACCACAGCTGCCCTCAGTATGGATGTTATGTTACGTAGGGTACTAACCTTGTTAATAGTAAGGGTGACCTGAGCTAGCTATGGAAATTATTGGTGATAATAATGTGCTGTCATAATTGTTGCTAGTACAAATTTAAGTTCCGTAAGGACAAAATAGACATTACACTGCTCTGAATCTGTATAAACTTAAGGCCATTTGAGTCTTTTGGAACATTAGTTAGCACACTGATTATTTCATGTAGGTTTTCTGTATTCTGTGTTCAGATTCTGGTTTCTTGTTGCAAACCATTTCCATGTTATCAAATAGATACAAAAAGTGTCAGAAGAAACATCAGTTTAAAAACTAACATGGATTGCAGTTGTAAGACAAACTTAACCCACGTACTTAGTATTTTCATTTGAAAAGTTTTTCATGTTGGGAAATTACTAATTGCATGCATTTGTTGTAGTGTAGTCTAAAACTCAATATCAAGAAAAATGTTACATCGTGTCTGCTCTCCCACGTACATCGAAAGCATAAGGCTGTAGAGGAAATGACTTTGAAGCAGTACGGTGTATCTTCCATTTTGCTTATGTTTAGCACTGCTATTTATGGAAGGTTGTAGTAAAACTTGAGGTGTAATTGTTTTCCTTGTTTTACATTATGGGATTGATTATAAGCCAATAGATGAGTAGACGTATGTTGCTGGTTTTTGTCATTCGATGCTTGATATATCAAGTACAAGTTTGTGAAACTAATCTCTGATTTAGCACAGTGTAGAGTAGTAAGGTTTATATGAATTAAGCTTTATCTTCATAGTGGCATAATTGTTTGGAAGTTTGCATGGGAACTGCTGAATCCCAGCCTGAACCTCTGATTGATCACCTGAGGCGAGCAATGGGTCAGCCATGGGAGCACAGTGAAGGCAATTCACCTGTGCTGCAGGAAGGGCTGGAGCCTGGCTGCACCTCTCCTACACCTATTTAAGAGCTGACTACCAGTGGGGAAGGATCTCTTCTGGAGATCCACTCTGCTGGAGTTTCATAAGCAAGCCCAGGATACGGGTAAGTGTCCTATCTATTCTCTTTTTGTTATTATAACCTGCTTTGCCTAACTCTCTTGTTTATTTCATAATTATAACGTCTTAATATTCTTTGATTATACAGAGTTAGAATGCACTTAGTGCCAGGTCTGTCTCTAGTGTCATCTGCTAGTGTTGAGAGTTGTTTGCATCTTCAGCTGAGTTTGTGTATGTTATTTGACTAACAGAACCAAATCTCACACGTCACGTGTCTACACAGTGGGAAGCAATTCAGAATCTGAAGTGTGATTTCTTAAAAATCTCTGTGGGCGCTGTGAAGCTTAGCAGCTAAATTTACATGTTTTTCCTATTACTTTTTTAAACTCTGGCGTCATGTACATCACAGACATAGCTTTTCCATCCCTACTCCCCATCTCCCACATTTAAGATGCTTCCTCCTGCTGGGGTGGGAGTGAAGTGCTTTTAGTAGGGTTCTGAAAATAGAAAATTCTGGGTCGGCACCTTGCAGTGCTGGATGGTGAGAGGAAGGGTCCACTGTCTTTGATGTGCCTCTTTACTGGAGGGTTTAGTATGTAGTGATTGGAGAAGTTCACTCATGCAGAATTTTAATAATTGGCTTTCAGTCTATGCATACATTAGTTAAATTTTCTTTGGGAGAAAAAGGAGAAAAGAATTAACTACAGGCAGGTCAGAGATGTTTTTTTTTGAACCTAAGCTCTGAATGAAGAAATAATAAAGGTGATGTAGATTAATTAAACCACAAATTTTGCATATATTCATGTGAGTTTATAAAGCATGTTTAGACAAGCAAAGTAGTATGCTATTTACTGTTGAAATGGTGGAAAAGTTAAAGATTGTCTTGTATAGTTGCTTGTGTAGTAACAAACTGAATTTTATAGGTATTAATCAGGAAGAAGACTACACTGGAGGCTAAGTGTTAAGGGCTTTTTTTAACAACTGTTTGACAATAATTCCTCTCTTTCCTGTTTTCTCTTCTTTTCTTGTGCTCTAATGATATGCTATACTGGTAGTTGTCCCCATATGAGAATTTATGGGATTGCAGTGTTGACTGCGTCATACATGTAATTCAACAACAACGGCAAAATCTTTAATTTATTTCAAGCTTTGCAATATGGCCCCACAGGTAGCTGTGCTAAGACACCAGGAGCTGGCTATACTGCCTTTATGCTGTTACGTTATACTTGGTGCAGCTACAGTATGCCCTGTATCGTGAAACCACTCTTATTAAAATAAGAATTTAGATTTTTTTTCAAATAGTACTTCTGCATATTAGCGAAAGATTACCTGAAACATCAAAATACAGACTTATACTACATCATTTTACTTAGAGAAAATTAATCTATAAATTTAATGGAATAACTGGCATATGAAGAACGTTTTTCACAGCACTAGTGTTGACCACAATATACTTCTCTTAAAATTTTATTTATTTTCAAATAATAGAATTTTGTTGAATTTTCAGGTTCACAAAACAATGACACGAAAAGGCAGTTTCTTCTAGAACGGTTATTGGATGCAGTCAAGCAGGTGAGAAATCCAATCAATATTTCTACACTATTCTCAATATTCTGTATTATCAGTATTGACAATGTTATTGCCTTTTTTTTTTTTTTTTTACTTTTTACCAGACAAAGAAGAAACCTTGTCTTTTGTACAATACTGCTGAATTTTTGTGTCTGCTAGCAGATAAGTGTTCTGCAGAGCTTCTTTAAAATTGTGTAGACAAGTTATATTTGTAGTACTTATTATATGTCTGAGATAAATTGTGTTCTGTGAGGGCTAAATTGGGTAGCATCATAAAGTATCAACATGGTGGGGTTTCAGTGAAGGGTAAATATGGGATTGATTGACTGATTAATTTTGTATCAACAGGAAGTTAAGCACAAAGAGTATAATAGATTTGATTCAACTTAAAAGAGCAGTAAAGGTAAAAGAATGCCTTGAATGTGAGCTAACCATATGTTTTACAGAGAATAATTCTTCTACAATTGTAGCACTGAGCTGAGTGGGAGCATTTTTTTGTTTCTATGGGTATACATTTAAAACTCAAAAATAGTAATTTTTACTTTTTTTTTCTTCAGATACTGCAGGTATGGCGTTGTCTAGCAAGAATATGTGAACTGCTAGGGTAGTCTGTTAGTGGAATATGATGCTAAAAAGCGATTTTTGGTTGCAGAGTGTATTTTCTAGTAATCTATCTTGTACTGTTTTCTTTTTGTCGTGAACTTTCATTTCCTAAATGGAAATATTTCAGTGTATTTTGTGTCTTAGTGTAACAAAACATTCTTAAAGTCTCTTTGTTGCAGTGTCAAATACGGTTTGGAGGAAGAAAAGAAATAGCTTCGGATTCTGATAGCAGGTAAAGTAGTCCAAGAAATTCTTAATGTACTTAAATTATGCATCACAATTACCTAAAATATAGGGCCCAAAATACTTAATACACTCGAACTCCATTCCCCAAAACAAACAAACAAACAAAAACCCAAAACAAAACAGCAAAATAAAGAACTATGAAAAAAAAGCCAACTTCCAAATAAACACCTACCCTCTACCAGGATGTAGTACAGGTATTCTGTTTCACAGTTAAAAGGAAGTGGAAATTGCATTGATAGTTGTGTGTCTGAAATGTCAGTGTTTGGATTATTAGTGTTATATATTGATATTTGTGAGATAATTTTGAAAATGAAGATACTATGAGAGTTTAGATCAAAATCCAGTAAAATCCACAGTTCTCAGCATTTTCTTCTCATAGCCTTTTTTTGTCTTTGAAGTTACAATTTCTTAGAGTTCTTTGTCTAGAAGTCTAGATTTCTCCATGTTTTTCTGTATTTATTTAACACACCTGTAGCCCACTACCTAGTAAATACTTTAGATGTGTGAGATGTATGTGCATGTATATTGGGCATTGCAGAATACTTGATTTTTTTTATTCCATTCTACTAGTGACTAAATTCTGTTAAAAGTGCTGCATGGTTTTCTTGCTTTTGTTCTCAGTGCATGTCATTTTTTAATAATATGAACTCTTCCCCAGAATCTCATTTCTGTTCTGTTTTTTCAGAATTGAAAAGTCAAGTAGATTTTGGTTTTTTGAGCACGTGTCTGCTAGAATTTCCATTTTCAACAGCACTATGTTTAGCAAAAATCAGTCATACCTACTCAAAATTCTTCTTGAGAATTGTTTAAATCTTATTCTACTTTATTAGTATTGCAACGTAAAGTTTTCATAACATACATGTACTATGGAGCAATACAGGTTTAAAAGCTCTACTGCTCAGCAGATTAAGGTAGATATATGACTTCTGTTTTCTTTTAGTGCTCTTCCTAAGATCCACTGCTTTTTTGTATCCTTGAATGAAACACTGTTGTCTTGGAATCCTGAGGCAGAGTTCTGAGCCACCTCATTAGCTGTTCTTATTTGATTGCTTAATTTTAGTTCAAGTATCTTTTCTTCCTTTTTGAAAGCAGTTTTTGTAGCCAGGTGACAACTTTATTAAAACTTAAGTTTTAAGTATTGTTTATTCACTGCCAAAAATAAAATTTGGAGAAAATCAGTGCAAACTCTGTTGGAGATCTAATTTCCTTTATACCTTAGGCCTTATATTCTGTAGGTTACAATAGTAATCCCTGTTTTGGCAGACTGAGCTTTAAAACTACTCTTGTTAGTGTTACTACTTGTATGAAAACTGGTTTATTAAGTGTATTATTTTAAAAAAAAAAGTCAGGAATGTAAAAAATATAATCATAAAGAACAACATTGCTGGAATGTTGTGCTTATTTTCCAATGCTTAAAGTTTCTGAGGGGCATTACAATGTTCATTTGTTTTCCTTGACTTGAATTATAATGTACTAATGCAAGCATCAAAATTGTTAACTAAGTGTATAAAACATTGTAGTATAATTTCAGAAAATAATTTATTGTATGTGTAGTATACTTATGAATATATAATTGCCTTGCATGAAAATTAGGTAATCCAAAGCTGAATTACTGTAGCTAAAAAACACTATAGCAGGTGCAGATAACTTTGTATCACTAATTCTCCTGAATGTAATTTGTGTTCTGGCTTTAATAGCCGTGATAAGACTGTGGGTTTGGCTATGTTGTATTGTTCTGCAAATAATAAGATTAATTCATGCAGAGGATCTTTCATTGTATGTAAAATAAAGGTTCTCCTTTACATTCTCTGCTTAGAGATTTGGAGTAAGCCTGCTCTAGAGAAATGTAGTTGATTGTTTTTTTTTCATGTGATTTGCGTAAAAATTTTGTTGCAGAGTCACTTGCTTGTGCGCTCAGTTTGAAGCTGTGTTACAACACGGTCTGAGGAGGAGCCGAGGATTAGCATTAACAGCAGCAGCAATCAAACAGGCAGCAGGTTTCTCTAGTAAAACTGAAACAGGTAATTCATTAATCATAACTATTCTTTTAAAGAAAAAAAAGAAAAAGTGCAAGGAAGTGGAATGATTTCAAATAGAAGTTTTGAGTGGTGAACCAAGCTGCAGACTGTAGAATAATTGGAATCTCATTAAGGGGTGAAAGTGGTTATTGCTTTCTTAATCTAGTATTTAACTTTCATGCTAAGTTTCTGTAGGAGTTTTGGAATTTGAAAATGTGCACTTCCTGTAGTTCCATCATGGATAATATCATTGGCAAGTTTATTTTGACATCTGGTAGGAATGAATATTGTGCAGTTGTGCTGTTTATACTTGAGTAGTTTTATTATTAATGTTATTTTACTCTGTTCTTTAACTGTCATTTTCTTTAGCATTGGAATTATTTGACCTCTCAGTATTGATGCCATTTTAAAAGTGAAACTTCTGTTGCTTTTATTGGGTGGTCAGCCAGGGCAGTTGTTTTTTTATTACTTCTAAAAAAAAAAAAAAAAGATTCCTTTATTTTTGTGCCTTCATTTTGAAGCTCACCTTGTTTTTTATCAAAAATATGTATAGATATTCATCATCACTAATTTTGTTGTGAAATTTGACTTAAAATTAATGTTCTATAATTTCTTAGCCAGTATTCACACCTTATGGTTAAGTATTTCTTTTTGAATTTGAAATACGTAATTCATGGTGGGGCTTTTTTGTTTGTTTTTAATACTCTATGTAACTATATGCTTTAATCTCCAAAGAAACCTTCCCATTACACCATACAGTTGCTTTTAATAGGTGTTACCTTAATGCTTTATGCATAAGTTGTTATAGTGTTGCCTTAAATTTCTCTTAACAGTGTCTCCTTTTGATGATAGGGTGAACTGATGGGTCTTTGTGTGCCGACTTTTCTTCTAATAGGTTAAAGCCTACAGGCTTAGCTTTCCTGAGGAACTAAAGTAGTTATGCTTTTAGAGAAATCTGCATTTCTTTTACTTAATAATGGGCAGATTCTACGTTACAAGTAAAACAACTCAGAGGTTTACCGAACCTTTACAGATTTTTTCATTTATTTTGTATGCTTTTATCCTCCTGTGTATCTCATCATTTATCTTTTTATTCTCTTGTTATAGTCTTCATTTATCTTCATAGTTTAAGTTTATGTGAGAATGAATGCTGTAGCTGATATCAAAAGGTGTTTGCATTCCCTGCACAACTTACTTTTAAACATATTAGGGCAGTATTGCTAAAAGATTCTAAATAGCTGAACTTTTCCATTACCTTTGCCTTATTAAAGATACTAGACTTACTGAAACCTTTCTGCTCGTGATACTTTTTTAGCACTTTTTTACTGCACAGATTCAGAGTTTCATAGGCTAATTAAGGTTTGAATCCTCCTCAGGAGGTCTGCAGACCAGCAAACATCTATGAAGTTAAGTGAGATTGTTTGGAGTGTTATCCATCAGGAAACTAGCATTTCCGATTGTGTAAATAATATTCTAACTTGATGCAGTCAAATAAGAAACTATTCTTTAATTGACTGAAATTGAAATGCACAATTGCTGAATGGTGTGAATTTTTTTTTTCTTTTCTTTGTCTGAGAAGTTGATGAGCCTGGCTTCAAACTGATCTCTTTGCTGTCTGTGCTCTAAATTTTGGTCATTGTTGCTGATTAATGATTCATTGTGAAATGTTGTAGCTATTGGAACTGTGATAGGAGAAAAACTACATTGGATGTTTTCACAAAGTGATTAATATTTGGATGAGTTGCATTACAAGTTTGCCTATGGTAAAATAATACAAATTGTATTTTACTGAAATTAAAATAAACCTTGCATCTAAATAATATGTATAGGATTATTTGCTATGAAATTTACTATCAGCTGTTAGGACTTGAATTTTCATTTAATTCTACTTTTGAAAAGAATGTGTTCATTTGAAAATGCCACTTGCATCATCTTTTTTGAACAAGTATGTTATGGAAAGACTTTGGGTACATAGTGCCTCTACTTAATTTCCACTGAATAGATTTTGTTTAAAAACTGATTGTCAGAATCCTTGATACCTGTAAATAAATAGAATACCAAGAAACACTAAGTTTCAGTCCTGGCACAAGAGGAAACCTGCTTATTTTTTCTGTTTCTGTAATAATTTCACTTCCTTCTTTTGCATTGTTTTGACTTTTAGCAAGACAGAAAAACAAATTCTAATGTTAATATGAAAAAATAAAATCATTAGATCATTGTCCACTTGATACAAATCAACATTTTATCGTCTACTTTCTTTTTTGGGGTATATATATGTATTTGACTTTTAATGCAGAAGTCAAATAAGCTGTAGTCAAAGGGATATGATATAGGATGCTTTAACGCTCTGATATATTCTGTTGACTTCCTTACTGTTGTACATGTTAATCTGTCTGTTAAGTTCTAGTTCAGCCAAGTATACCCACAGTTTGCATGCCATGTGGTCTTGGGCAACCTGCTGTAGGTGATGCTGCTTAAGCAGTGTTTTGGGTGAGGTGACATCCAGAGGCCTCTTCCAAACTCAGTTTTTTTGTGATTGGCAGTTCTGTGTTTCCTGGATTTCACATTGTCTCATTTAGAACAATTCTGGGTTATTCTTGCATAGATATCAAATCTTATTAGCAAAACTTCTAGTAAATGAGTCTAATCTGTTTGTTCAGTTTTCAAAAACTGTGGCACTGTTGACAGTTTTACTAATCTAATGGCTTTCAGTAGAGATTAATAAATAAAATTGTACCCCCAAATTAGTGTATTTCACCAGAAATCATAACCTGTAGGAAAAACCTCTTTGAAGCCTGACTGCATGCTCTTTATATAGCAGAGAAAAAGGGGAATATCATGGATGACCTTTTCCTGATACTGCAATTACATTAAAATGATTTAGAAATGTGATAAGGAGTGATGGAATCTGTCCATTTTCTCTTTTGCATGTGAATTTTTTCAGTGTCTCCGAGGAAATTTTTTACCCTCCCATAAATGTCGTCTTTATGCTGCCTACATTGAGATTGTGATCAGAAGTCAGCATGATATTTAACGTGATAGTGTCCCATTCACTCCTACATTAGAATTTTTCCTTTTTTGTTAACTTACTAAAGAAAAAGTTGAACAATGACCTTCATTAAACTGTCAAAAGGAATGTGTGCTTGTCTTCCGTTGCAGAGTGATGTTTTGAACTTTAAAAAGAATTCTTGGCTTTCTCATATATATTTTTTTTCTTAAAGGCCTGTCTACCCTAAATTCAGTTTCTTAATACATTGCTGACAATATAAATTTTCAGCTTTCAAATACTTAAGTAACTGTAAAAAAAAGTTTTATCAGTGTTTGGGGCAGTGCAAGGAAAGTATTTTTGTGGGAAGAGGTATTGTTGCATTTTATATTAAACACTTGACTTTATCCTCTGCATGTCTGCAAATTATGGATCTACCCATTCTTTTTCTACCTAGATTTTATCATTTCACAGAGAACAATAAAAAAAAGACTTCTAGAAGCATTTTTTTCTTTGCATAGCATATTCCCAGATGTGAATGTGTTTCTTGAGTGAAATACTAGTTTAAATATACTTTCCAACTTGAATATGATTATTTTAGAATGTAGGCTCAAATCCTTCAATGTATTTGGTGTCTTCAGTGAAGTGACAAGTTCTAAGTGCTTATATGACCTAAATTCTGTAGAAATAAATAATGTGTTTAACTGGAGGATTATATGTAGATAGTAAACGATTTACCTTTTTTCAAGTTGTAAAACAATCGGGGAACAATATATAAAATTGCATGATAAATTTATTTTGTTGGGATTTATTCAGTTGGGAATATTGGAGATAACTTATTGTGTGAATTAGTCTTCGTTTTGAAATAATATGTAATGAAACTTGTAAAGTAAGCTTTGATAGAAGAAAGTAAAATGTGTGGGTTGCTCATGAAGTAATGCCTCCTGTTTTGGCTCAAGGCATTAGAGATGGATGTTGGTGGGATGGCAGCAGAGGCTGAACCTTTCCACTACGTTTTGTTGCTGTGCAACAGATGGTAGTAGAGGGACAGTCTGACAAAATGGTGTCTGATATGGAGGTGTGTATGAATGGAGGGTGTGGAATGGAATTCCTCCATATGTGAAAAAATTGCACTCACTGACATTCATGGGGGTGTGTGAATGTGTTCACCATACAATAGATGTGAGCATAGTGAGACAGTAGGTGGTGCATTTCAGCAGTGATAACGACAACATGAAAGGACAGCAATGGTCCAGACAGCCATGTACAGCTGCCACAGCTTGAAATGAAGAGCATCGCAATTTGCTCATCTTTGTGAATCAGATAATGGTGGTTACTGTTGAAAAATAGTGTTTTGATAATTTGCTCTATCAAACAGTGTTATTGTACTCTTTGGATCTGTTGTAGTTTTCACTGAGATAAATAGGAGGCATTACTTTCCGAGCTACCATTGTAGATAAAACGAGCTTACTGTGGTGCTTTTGTTTTGTTTTTCTGCAGAGCCAGTGTTTTGGTACTATGTGAAAGAATTTCTGAATAAACATGAACTACAGCGCTTTTACTCTCTGAAGACAATTACTACAGATATTGGCAGAGGTCGGGCTTGGTTGCGCTGTGCATTGAATGAGCATTCCCTGGAAAGATATGTTCATATGCTACTTGCAGACAAGAATCGGCTTAGGTACTGTATTTGATGTCATTGTAATGCAGGAATTGTGCATGTATTGACAAATGAAATATTGAGACTGAAAAGTCATCAAAATACCAACAGAAAAACCCCACAAGAAATACAACTGTAATAATATGGAGTATTATTTCTATTCTAGTTATCCCACTTAACCTCACATGTCTTTATTTTGTTCATTTTTGAAATTTTGAGTCACTGAGATAGTGGCTTGTGCCCAAATCTATGAGTGACCTGAAACTGGCTTCACTCTTGCATGTGAGAATACACACTTCTATATTCATTTCCATCCACTTTCATGACTTTCTTTCCTGCTCTTTGAGCAGTTGTTCTCTATGATATCTTAAAACCATTATGAAAGAGACTTTGAGTGCCTCCCTCACTAATGAAATCACATAGTATTTCAGCCTTGATTTTGTTATTTCAGTAGTAGTTGCCAGTAGCCTGGTTGGAGATGCTTACCCTGTAATTTAAAAACTCTGCCAGTCAAGCAGTAGGTAGCTACTTCTGTAGGTTACTTGGAAATATTTTTTGAACTTTCTTTTACAGAATTACTACATGAATAATTTATTTTATTGTGAAAACATAAGATACTTTGGATGTGCAAAATACACAAAAATGTTCATTCTTGCCTGAGTCTTACCTTTCCTGCTATACATATTACAATCCTTTTTTTAAAAATCTATTCTAATTGTTGAGCTTGAGCTACTCAGTAAATTCAGTAAAAAAGCTGTATTTCCATTTGCATCAACTATTGAATATACTTTCAGAACTGATCTCTTTAGTACCTTTCAGTCTACTCCAGCTTTCTTGCAAGACAGATTTTGAAATGAAGTCTAATAGAGACAAAGCGAGATTTACAAGTTTTCAGATTTTTGTTGTCAGAGAGATTTGTGATTTGGATTACTTGGTCACTTGGTACTCTGATGCTTGTAACAGTGTATGTGCTGTAGCAAGACTGTCAGCACCCTGAGATTGTACGTGAACCTTGGTTTCCAAAAATGGTTGTTGTAGAATACTTAAGATATGTTATCTGAATTCAAGTGAAATTTCCAGAATCAGTTTACATCCTAGACACTTATCTGTTTTGAAAACTTAAGTGAATCTATTATGTTTTATGTAGATTCTGTTCTATTCTATGTTCTATTCTGTTTAATGTAGATTGAGGTCTTTCTTGCTGTCTGTTTTTATGTTTTTTAAATATGAAACCTGATAGCTGAAATACAGCATCCTGCTCTAAAAAGGACTGGATTTAGAGCAACTAACATTTTGTTCACTGTGAAGTTTCTTCTCCTTCCATCCGAATTCCTAGTTGACCCTAGCAATTTAGGGTAATTGATGTGGTTTCGGGTATTGAAACAGCTTGTCAAAGTTAATAAGATATTTAGGTTGTGTTCATGCATTTTCATGCTTTGTAAATGTCTGGTGACCATAAAGTCAACTGTAATTATTTTAAAACTTATCTATGTGGAATAACAGCAATAGACGTTGACAAACAATTGTGACTACATTTGCAGCACGAACCTCCTTCTCCTAAGTGTTTTTTACCCAATAAAAAGATATGGAGCTACAACCACAGATGAGATTCACTGAAATAGTATTTTATATTTTTCACCTAAAGAAATATGTGTTAATTTACTATGACTGTTTAGACAGTCTAAATATTTCAGAAGTTCAGGGAGTTACTGTGATGTATGTTTGATTTGTTGGTGTAGTCATGCTTATTTTTCAGAGTTCTGAAAGTGGAATGTATTGTAAGTGTTCAACTCAATATTCTTTTCTTTTCACGTAATAGTGTCTTCTATGAAGACTGGTCTTTTATGATGGATGAAGAACGTTCTAGTATGATCCCTACAATGGCAGCTGGTAACACCTCTCTTATACACTACTATTTTGGGAGAACTGTTTCATTTTGAGACATCATTTCTGTTTCAGTTGTAAGGATTTTCTCTGTTAGCTTCTGTGGAGAATATTCATCAGATACACATTCAGGGTAAACAGTAAAGGTATTATGCCAGTTTATGTTATGAATTGTCAAAGTACTGGGTCTAGCTTTTCTATAGGTTCCAGAGTGTTTCAGATGGATTTTATGACCCTTTGCTACTAAGGATAATTTTTTTCTTCCCCTAAAACTATCTTGATTTGAAGAAAAAATGGGTTGCTTTTGACCCAAAAAGAATAAGAGGTAGAATTTTTTTAGTCAGACCCAGAATGCAGATAAATGTGCTGGAAGAAAGAGTAAGACCTGGCAACATACAGTTTAATTTTCTGGGGTTGGGTCTCAGAAGCTGCGTGTTGTTACATTGTACATCATTTTTCTGAGATACATTATCACATGCTTCCCTATGTAAGATAGAATTCACAGGTTTTTATTCATGAAGTACAGAATCCAACAAATTTTAAAGCTGCAGTGAAGATTTAAAAGTCTGTAAATAAACCAGTTCAGCTGCATATTACATACTCGAAAAGTACTGTGAACTGTATAAGTAAAGAGAATTTCAGAACTTAAACGCTTGAGTAGTATTTAGAAAGAGTGAATGATACGTGGAAGAGAGAGAATTCATGCACAGAGAATGGTAGGAAAATTTGGGGAAAAAATGTTTTACCTGTTAGTGTTGTTATATACCTAGGTTCTATTTCTGTAACTTCTATGTGAAGTGGGGTTTTGGTCTTAATTTTTTCCCTTTTATCTGAAGGTTTGAACTCCATTCTGTTTGCAATCAACATTGATAATAGGGATTTAAATGGACAAAGCAAATGCGCACCCACAGTGTCTGATCTGTTAAAGGAATCAACGCAAAATGTAACCTCATTATTGAAAGAATCCACTCAGGGTGTTAGCAGTCTTTTTAGAGAGATAACTGCATCCTCTGCTGTCTCCATTCTCATAAAACCTGATCAAGACACTGACCCGCTTCCTGTTCTCTCAAAGAATGTAAATGCTGGTAAGCATTTTTGCTATATTGATGTCATTCAAAAACTTATATTAATGTGTGTTTAATTAACTTTTTTTCAACTCAGTTTAATATACTTCTGTGGAAAAAAAAATCTAAAAAATGCATGTGCTGTGCTTACAAAACAGTTGAATGTGAAATTTTAGGTGTGATTGGCTCTTTTTTGTTTTTGAAACTACAGGTATGGATAATAGGAAGTTAATATTAATTTTAGCTTCCTTTTATCAATGCAAGAGGGAAGCTAGACTATCTTGTTGGTGCTGTAATTGTGACCTGAATTTCAACTTCTTACTCATAAGATTATGCCTTGCAGTGTCTGATGTAATGATTTTTCATTTTCAGTATCATTACTTTTGGCATTTCGTTAGCCATCTAAACTGTTGTTATATACCAGATTAAAAAAATTTAGCTTGTAGTCTTCAAACAGCACCTAAATTTATAGTCTAATCTCCTATATGAAACAGGTAATTACCACGAATGAAAAATTACTCATAGCTCTTCCTGAACTTTAAATGTGTTAGTGTTGTAACCGCTTTGCAGGGCACCATCACTGACAAGGGCCCTATATTTTAATGCCTTGTAATTTAAAATTAATCAATTAAAATGTGATATTTATTATACATTAGAGTCTTCAGCAGTGTCTGTAGATGCTTTTGCACAGGGTCTGTGGTGATGGAACAGGAAATTGCTTGAACCTTAAAGAGGGTAGATTTAGGTTTAGGTATAAGGAAAAAGTCTTTTACAGTGAGGCACTGAAACAGGTTGCCCAGTGTTGTAGTTGATGTTCCATCCCTGGAGACTTTCAAAACAAGCCTGGTCTAGCTGTGCATGTCCCTGTTCCTTCCAGGGGAGTTGGACTAAGATGACCTCTAAAAGTCTCTTAAAACTCTAAGGACTCTATGATTGTCAGTTTCAAAAGCAATGAAGGAATATTTTATCATCTTTATCATCATTATTTTCCAGGAATATTTCATGTTTTTTTTCCTGTTGTTAGACGTACTCTGAAATACACACTTATTATAGGAGTAGGTGCCTGAAAGGCTTTTTCTCTTGAATTTCATTTTGTTGTTTGTTGAACTATTTTTTCCACTTCCAATTGAATACTATTATATGTGCACCTCAAAAATAATTTTTAAAATTTGAGTTATGTGAAGTACATAAAGCTAAATTGATAGGTTTAAAGACTGGTATGCATGGAAAGAAAATGAAATGCTTCATTAAATAGATTCTTTCTTCTTTTATAAACTCATTCAGTACATGAGTTCTGTTAATGCAATACATCCTTTTTTCTTGTTTTTCTTTTTTAAAATATGTAAACCTTTATCTTGCTAATAGAATTGAAATATAAGAAAGATCGAAAAAAGAAGAAGAGGGTGACAAATATAATCTCATTTGATGAAGAAAATAATGAACTGAATGTGGGAGATGTCACAAAGACCCCTATTATGGGACAAAGTTCAGAGGAGAGTTTAGATAAATCTTCAGTTTTTATATTACCCTCATCTGAAACCAGTCACGAAAAAAATTCAAATGAGAATGAGAGTAACCACTCGTGGAAAAGTAATTCTGTTTTCATGAATGGAGAGTATGAATACCAGAAACTAGATGTGAAAAGTATTGATGATGAAGATGCAGATGAAGATGAACTATGTGGAAAAACATTAGGAAATAAAGGCACAGAAGCGGAAACTGAATCTTCTGAAAAGTAAGTAATGCTATTGAAGAAACCAGTGGTAATTTTTTCTCTTTTTTTCTTCTACATACGTGGTCACTGGCAAATCTGTATAACTAACAAAAATCCTGGTAGACTTCTTTTTTGTTCTTTGTTTAAACTATTTGGACTAGCTTGGGAATATTTTTCATTTATGTTTCACCTAAAATCAGAATCTTGAGATTTTGGATTTGTTCTCCATGAGATTCTCAGTTTCCAAAACTTTTGCAAAGCTGCAATTCTGACTTACTTGACATTTACTTATTCTTACTGTGATACCAGCTTTAGTTTGGCTTCACAGAAAACCCATATATTTTAAGCAGAGCCTGCTAGTATCAGAGTAATGTTAACCAAGACAAAATCATAAAACTGATAGTTTGGAATAGTCTGATCTTCAAATCATGGAGTTATGGAATAGTTTGGGTTGGAAGGGACATTAAAATCATTGAGCTTTGCCTCCCTGCTATGGGCAGGAGCACCTTCCACTGAACCACCTGTTGCAGTGTCTCATCATCATGGAAAAGACTTTCTTCCTAATGTCTAATCTAAAACTACCCTCTTTTAGTTTAAAAACCATTACCCTTTGTTCTGTCACTGCTCCCTGATGAAGAATCCCTCATCTTTTCTGTAAGCCCACTTTAAGTTCTGGAAGGTTGCTATAAGGAATTCATGTGTGTCTTCTGTGAATTTATGTACATCTGAACTAAGAAATTGGCATGGAGATTGAAATACAGGTTTTTCATGCAGTCACATCTCTGAAAGAAATATGAGCATTGTGGAAATCTTTGTGTAATATTTGTTTTTGTTTTTCTGTATAGGCCTCATGAAATAGTTACATGCAATTCTCAGATATGCAGTTGGACTCCTCTGCAAGTTTTGAATTATGACTCAGCTGTTCTGTTTCCTGTCAGTGCTGTTGACTCTTACTCCCGAACTGGTAAATATTTTAATTGTATGTAATGCCAACAAGCTTTGTAATGAAATTTCTAATATGAAGCAGTGGTTAAGAAGCATGGCATTGTACAAACTGGACAAGACGTTCAAATTTTTTTTTCTAGACCGTAGTCAAAGTTCTTCATTTCAGTAGTCTTATACATAGCTTATATCTAAGCTGGTTAGTTGAAGAGGATTTATCAGTGTGAAAATAGACCAGAGATCTATTGTCATTAAGCTATAGTCTTGTATGCGTGGTGTTTTGCTAATTATTTGAATGGTTGAATAGGAAGTGTCCTTATCCAAATGGTAGATGCCAGTAAGCTGGAAGAAGCTAAAAGTTTGTTTGGTAATTTAATTTGACCTTGAAGATCAGAGAAACTACTAAATATTGAATGTAATTCAATAGAAGCTATCTCTGTATAAACAGGATGAGGAGTGATTGGCTAGAAAATACTTATTTGGAAAAAGTTACAGCGGGTTAGAAGTCCATAATGAGTTAGTAGTGTTGTGCTTCTACACTGAAAGCACATTTCATGCTGAGATGCTTAAATGAAAGAGTCATTTGTAAGTTTATGCTCTGGTGGCCTCTGCACTTTTGGGTACTGCACTTAAAGAATGGTGTGGACCATATCTTGAAGACCAGATCTTGAAGAAAGCAATGAGAAGGGTAGAGGTATGGATAACAGCACTCACTGTGTTTTCAGTATCTGTTCTAGTGTCAGAAACCAAAAAACTTACTCAGAAATATATGGAGTTAATATTTGCTAGCTGTTTATACAATGTTGCCTTCTATAAAACTTTGAGTATGCATTCTCCTTTCAGAGACCAATAGTAACTTCCCAGTGGCATTCAGATAATCTATTTTGATGGTAAAATATGTCATGCTTTTTGGATATGCATCATTTGTTCTGAGAGTTTAAAGAGACCGTTAACTGAACAGCTGTGAAAGTGTGATTTTCTTGTGAATATTATGAGATAAAAATAACATGATTCATGAAGTAATGCTCTAGTGCCCTCTGCTGTATTCTAGTATTTGTACCTCTTAAGAGATGCCAGAGGCTCAGAAAAAAAAAGTTTCATCTTTTTCTAGTTTTCCTGCAAAAAAAAAAAAAATATATATATAAATATTTCAAATATATAACATAGTGTTATTTGTTCAAATGAGTTTTCAGAGTCTGCTGTTATGCCTCAGGGATGTGTCAGGGCATATCGTATTTCCAGATGAGAGAGCCAGAGTCAAAAATCAGTTTCCTTGATGGAAAATGGAATATATAGTTAGGAACTTTAAAAACAACAACAACAACAAAAACCAAAAAAACCCCACTTTTCTTCTCCATAGTCATCCTGACATCACTTTATTTCCCATCATTTTATTTTATTTTTTTTCAGACTTCCTGATTTTTATATTCTACACTAATACTTTTAGCTTGTGATTTCAGGATTATTTTGTGGTATCTTCATAAACTTTACACACTGAGGTGCAGAAACATACATATGTTTGTTTATTTATTCGTTTTTCTTAATACATGCCTAGGAGGAGGAGGATGGTGTTGTTTGTTTCCTTGCAAGTGACCTACCATCGTGGTAGGCCCAATGATGTATATGTTTTGATACTGAACGTTGTAGATCTGTGAACAGATGTGTATTATCCACGCTTTTCTGAGAAATACCTGACTTCTGATATTTGGTTCATAGGTGTGTGTACTAAATATCAAAAAAAAAAAAAAAAAAAAAGTTGAAGAAAAGCCATGATACTCTGTTAGGAATGTATAAAGGAATGGCACCTTTACAAGGTTTCAGATACTGGGGACCAACTACACATTCCATTCCTGCAAGTCACAAAACGGATTTGTAATGAGTATCAGATGTCAGATGTTAATTAATCTCCTGGGACTTGTAAAAATAACTTCAATAAAGAATTTCTTCATAACTTTACTGCATCGTTATCGATGTTAAATATTGACATCTATACTATAATAAGTAGTTTTGCTATAGGAAAACTTTTCTAAACTGATGATTGTATTACAATCCTACCTGTGTTAAGGGTGAATATGCAGAAGGCACATTTGGAGAAGGTTTTTAAGCAGTTAAAATTCTTTAGTAAAGGTAAGTTATATCTGGATAAAAATGCAACTATTTTCTTTTTGGTTTTGTTTTTATTTTTAAAATACTGTTAATTTAAGAAAGCTTATGTATGCATTCTGCTTTAGATAAATTGGAGAATGGAGGTGGGCATGAAAATGTTGTTGGTGCAGTAGAACTGTTTCCAAGAAGATCTGATCTTTCCTACAGGTATGTGTCAAACATGTTGTTTTTTCTATCCTAACAACACAAAAAACCCACTACACCTGCAGCATATAGATAGCTGCCAGCTTACTATGGCTGTCTAAAAGATAGCCATTCAGCACTGGAAAACAAACTGTTTATTAGGCTAATCTTGGAAATATTTGGAAAGACAAAAGGTTTTATGTTGTTCGGGTATGTTAACCGTGCTCTTTGTGACTTGTTGATTTGAGCCTTTTTTGCCTGTGCTCTTAAATCAGACAAAACATATCTTAAACGAGATTTCAACATAAGGTAGTTGAATATGTGTTGTTTTATGTGCATGATTATGTTTTGAGTAATTGATGAGAATTCTAGTCTTTTTTCTTAGTTTTGAATTCAGGTTTTTATTTACATTTATTGATGACATTGTACTTTTGTAACTAGAGTGGAAGTCAGTCCTCCAGCTCAAGTGAATACTTTAAGCAATATATTGCCTTCAGCCACTGTGCCCGAATCCATGACAATTAGTAAGTACTTCCTTGATGGATCTAAATTAAAGGAATTAATTTTTCAAGTCCTGTAATTCTTTATTTCTATTTTCATTTCAGTAACATCTGTTTATAGAGGATTCATTTCTTATATGCTGGCGACAATGACTGCTTAAAATAGTTAATTTGGCAATATGAGGTTCATTGCTGATGCATACATTAGCCTCTCTTTCCACAGAACTGCTATAAATACCCTTATACTAGTTGTGGATTGTTAAAAGAATGGTAGTGATTTGATCAGTATCGTTAAATTTCTGCAAATTGCAAAAGTGCAAATGGTTGTTTGTGATATGATCTTATTTGGTGTGCTTTTTGTAAGGCCTAATGGGGCAAAAAAAACAGATCCAGAACTCCTTTTATACTCAGTATATGGTTTGAATATGGAAAATCTGTCCCGAACATAAATATGTGCTTTCTTAAATGGAAATTTTATTTGTGATTGAGGTCTTATTTTCAGTAGTGTTAAGAATTTTGCTCAATGGGATAAAGTAGCCTTTGCTGTAAGAAAGAGACTTGCAGAAGTACTGGCTGTCTATTTACCCCATCTTTAAACCTTCACATAAACTTGCAGAATGAATAATTAGTTCTTAAACTGTCCCACTGTTTAAATACATGCGCAAGAATAGTTTTATTTTTTCTCTCTGTACAGAAAGTTGTGTAAGTGAACTGGTGGATGTGGCTTTGTTCCTGAAGCTCTGGGTTATGTCTGTGTTTTTTTTTAATTATGCCCAAATTTTAAATGATAACTTTTAGGAATACAGAAGTGATCCAGGCAACGTTCACGTGTGAAATTGATTTATGAGTAATCAAAATGGGTGAACACTATGTTATTTTAATGCCATATTCTAATTTAATGTTGACATTGTAAAGGAGGTGGGCTATGCATTTTTATTGGGTTTTGTTTCATGTTTTAGTATAGATCTGCTTTAGTGAGCTTTAAGAAGCCAAAAAATCTTTTCTTGCAATGTGCTTTTTGAAGTGGGAATCTAGTTTGGGACTTTGAAGTCACATAGTTGAAGATGTATATATAGATGGAATTACTGTTGATAGTTACTGTGATGTTTTGGTCAATGTATACTTGTTTGCTATTATTACAGTCTAATTCTTCTTTTCTAATTTGTTTTAGCTTTTTTTTTTTTTTTTTTTTTCCAGTAGTAGAGTTTTAATGGGAAACTTCCTGCTTTTATTGCACTTCATTGATTCATTGCTTCATAGACACCAGCAGGGGCCACAGTTGGTCTGTTTTCAGTTGCGTAGATAGTACATGTGTGTAATTGAGACAACCATCAAATACAAGATAAATTCTGAGATGTTCAATTCTTGATATTTAGCAATTTCTAAATGAAATGAACCACAGTAACAGAAGAAGCATAGATGAAATCATTGTTTTTATTCTAGACAAGATTTTTAGGGAACAAACAGGAGAAACATGTCAATCTGTGAGGCCAGTGGAACTATTTGTAAATAATTTAATTATCGTTATAATAAAAATTCAACTGCCTGTTCTTACAAGTTAATGCTTTTCTGAGAGCTGTTTCCAAATATGTTGAACAAAATACTTTTTTCAAGTTTGTTGTTACTGGATGTGGATTTACCATACAGGAACAATTCAGTGCTATGACAAACCCAGACACTGAAGTTTTTTCTGTATTGCAATTAGTGGAAGTCTTATTAAATGGTGAAGCGTATAGCTTGGTTGCATAGAAACTAATTCTAACACAACAATAAAGAAAAATTGACTGCAGTTGTGCAGTGAACAAAGCTATGAGGTCTCCAACGACAAATTCTGAAGACAAAGCTTGAAATAAGTTGTTTTTTTTCTTCTTCTTTTCCTGTTTCCTTTCAGATTTGCTTGAATATACCTAGCCTTTTTTCTCACTCCTTCTGATATGCAGGATAAAAAAACAATGCAACAAAACAGATGTTATGAGAAACTGTGTATGTATTCAGGTGTTCTTTAGAAGCCGTTCAAATCTTTAAAGGGCTGCTCTATTTTGTGGATTTGTACAAAATCTGAAAGTCAAAATCTCATTTAGGTTAGATGATTAAGCCGTAATATTTCTTTCTGTAGATTTATAGGAACTAGTAGTAGTACAGCTGTACAATTAGATTGTACTTTTATGATAGCAGCAGGATTCCAAGTGCATGGCTTTGAAATGACACTTTTCTTTATTCTGGTATCAATGTTAAACATAACTCGAAAGAATGCAAGTGAAATACTGACTTGTGTACAGGAAGATGATTCTTAAGTTATCCCCACACTGAAACAGAAGATCTCCCTTGAAATGGTAGTGCAGCTGGAGATGATATTTCTTACAAGTTCAAATAAATTGTCTTAACTTTTTTGTCTTGATATTAGGAGGTAAATTATTTTTGAAGTTATTTATAGGAAGTAAGGTTTCTCTAATAGGAAATAGAATTTGTGATTCTATCATCTTTAAAACAGACTGAGCTTGAGAAGAAATGCCATGAGAAAGCAATGATGTCACCTGTACTCTGGTCTCATTGTAATACTTAGGTGACTGTGTCAGGTTTTGTAGCAAAGAAATTGAGCAATTTCAAGAAGGTTAGCAAGTAATAATGTATTTCATTAATACAGTGAAAAGGTGCTGCATTATATCTTAAGATACCTCATTTGGCTGTGATTGTAACAGCCTCTACTGCAGATAAACTTGTGTTTATATTAAAACCAAATAGAGATTTGATTTGATCGGTACTTCTGATACTATGTTAAATAATAGTTTTCAAATGGTTGCTCAAATAGTGATGAGATCAAGAGAATTGTTAGATGTTTTGTTGAATAGCAAGTGATTTTGACATCATCCTAAGTGTGCTGCTGAAATAGCATCTCCACATACATGACTGTTAGATCTTAAATGTGCAAAAATGCACACAAATTGATTACCATTCCCCTTCCCCTTTTCCCCTTTTTCATCTTCAGATGAACTTCGTCAAGCTATTCTGGCCATGATGAATAGAAAGGATGAACTGGAAGAACAGAATAGGTAATTTTCTTTTTCCAGGCAAGAAGTGCTATATAATTTCAAAATTCTGTTGTCATTCAGTTTCTTTAATGTAGGATGTCCTTTATAAGCTGTGTGTAATCTATCATCTTTATGATGTAAATATTTTTATTCGAAAGGTAAGCTTAGTACTTCAGCATTCAACTGTGGAATCAATATTCAACTGTTCACAGTTTTTTTCCTTTGAATTCAGATCACATATAGGTATCTTTGAGAGGTTTTGCCAGTTGTAGGTTTTTGAAATCAATACTTATAGGCAAAAGAGTCTTAAGATGTCATAAGACTTTCTGAATGAGTTAAAGTTTATATTTATGCAAATATTCAAAGCTGTTTGTTTTTTTTTCCCCTTCCAATGTGGAAATAATATAGGACCATTGACAGTGTTACACTGGAAGTGGCTTTCATACATGAATGTCTGTATGTTCACTCTGGCCAAAATAACGATGTAAAATCGTTAAAAATATAAAAATAGTATGTTGTTCATTCAACATACTCACAAACCTAATGTACTTAATTTATTGAAATATATGGTTAAATAAATGAAAATAAAAATATATTGGAGATGTCCTTTGTTACTCTGTAGTAGGATTTTTGCAGTAATTTATGTTTTTTAATAGATGTTTTAATTAAATGTTGCTTTTAAGGTTGAGACTACTAACTGATACGTTTTGCTGCCTCTTCGCCTCCTCACTCCCATAATTGCAAACTACTGCTCCGTTCAACGTAATGTGTTTTGTCTGAAGGACCAAGATGCTTTGGGTTTCACATGATGTTGACCCTTCTTAGCTCATCGAGGCTTTCACACAGAGGTGCATGACAGTGTCCTACCTGTCTCCTTCTGTGACTAATAAACAAATTTCTTTTAGATTATTTCTGGGAAGTAGGAGCTTTCATTGGAGCACAGAAACCAGGTTATAAGTCATTTTCTATTATAGTACATTTTTGAGTGTGTGGTAGTACAGTAGATATGGTAATAGATCGTGCATCTTTATGGGATTAATACAAATGTAATAATAAGCATTTACAACTGGTTTTGATTGGATACTTTTTCCTTGCAGCTTTTCATATCTTTATATAATCAAACTGGTTGAATTTTTTTTTTTTACACTGAATAATGAAATTTTAGGGTGACATTACATTAATGGTATCATTTGAACAACCTACTCTGTGATTAGTAGAGTATCCTCTAATTAGTAACTTTAGTTTCCTAACAGATGCTGTTGCCATTTTCCAGGTCCCTTAGAAATCTGCTTGATGGTGAGATGGAGCATTCTGCAGCACTGAGGCAGGAAATGGACAATTGGAGAAAGAAGGTAGCAGAACAGGAAGAGCGACATGCCACAAAAGTCCAAGCCTTGGCACGGTGAGAAACATTAAAACAGTCATAAAACTAATAGCAACAATTAGAAAGTAATTCTAAAATAGGAATGAGACTAATGGTAAGAAATAAAAGCTGCAAAAATAGTGGCTAGGTTGGGTGGTTAGATAATGAGTCTAGCAGTGCTGCTAAGGGATTTCAGAAGACAACGGGATAAAGTATCTGTGGTGTTTAATTGCGAGGCAGGAAGCATGTAAGTACTCCTTAGAATTTTTATATTCCGAATAATTTTCACACTGGGCATCATTTAAGAAATACTGAAAAAGAGTAATAATACAAAAAAAACCTACCGACCTCCAAAGACACACATGATTTAGTCCAATCCATTGTTTTCCAGTATTAACAAAATAAACCAGCAACAAACAGTCCTCATTATTTAAAAAAAACAAAACAAAACAAAACCAGTATCTTTTTCTCTTATTTTTGTTCCATTAACAAATTGATGTCATACAGGTAGGCAGATTTATGGCAAAAAGCATGACTTTCTATGACATTTTTCAACATTATAGTGTAATTTCTTAGGATGCAATTATTTTATATATACATAAAATATATATATATATAGTGCTATTATAAATTAATTATTTACCTTTTCAGAATTGGGGGGGGAAAAAGAATTTCTGTTCTCCTGTGTTTTTGTTGATTGCTTACTGCAATCTAATATATGCTAACTGTCTTTGGGGTTTGTTATATTGGCTTGAGAGCACTGCTGTGAATAAATGTTAACATTTTTCAACCTCTCTGGGAACACTGGAACAGTTTGCCATCGTCCTTACCTTGAAGAAGTTCTTCTGCATGCATTCATGGAACTTCCTACAGCTGCCTAATTGTGGCTAATAATATATAAGCATCAAGGCAACTAAGTTGATTATTCTTTTGTTTTTGGAAGTTGCTAACAATGGCATAACCTGGAAAGCAATGTGATACTTAATTTAATTTTGGATTGCAAATCTTAATTATATTGCACACAACAGCAACTTAAGCATGTATATTGGGCCAACATATATAATGAGGTCCAGCAAATGTATTTGCATGTGCTTCTGAAGAGTTCTTTATTAATTAAATTCCCATAAATAAAAGTACACCTTTGTGTGTAAACTGTTTTTCAGTTTTCTGTAGTCTGTGTGTTATCTATCTAGAGTTTCATAGTTACTTATAAGTATACTAGAAAACAAATTTGCAGGTACTCTCTGTTGACATATTATTTAATGTGTAAATGTTTTGGTTTTTTATCTTGATGATAAGCTAAGTGAAACCCATTATCACGGTGGTATATTTGTTTCCTCTGAAATGGTCTTCTATTTTGAGAAAACAGTAATCTTTTCTTATGCTGTTCTTTTTATCAACAGAGAAAATGAAGTGCTAAAAGTGCAACTTAAGAAGTATGTAGGAGCTGTCCAGATGCTCAGAAGAGAAGGTCAAGCAGTGGAAGGTAAGGATAAAGGAAAAAAAAAAATCCATGCCCACGACTCTGCCATTGAGACAGAATTTATGGGAGGCATAATTAATAACCAAATGATGGAGGTTGCTCCCAGACTTGTATAAAGACCTACAGTGGAAGAATAGGTAGTGAATAGCCATAGGTCTTCTTTATATGCATCTGCATTTTTTTTTCTGATTGATCTTGAAATGAACTTCTGTGCATAACGGGCTACCCAGTCTGTTTGAGTCCAGATTGATAAGCAGCAGGTAAGGGAGCCTTCAGGAAAGCTGCAGAGGGACTTTTTATAAGGGCAGGTTGCGGCAGGACTAGGGTAAATGGCGTTAAATTTGAAGACGGTAAGTTTAGACTATGAGGGTGGTGAGACAGGTTGTCCAGTAAGGTTGTGAATGTCCCCTCACTGGAAGCATTCCGGGTTGTGCTGGATGGGACTTTGAGCAATGTGGTCTAGATGGAGGTGTCCCTTTCTACAGCAGGGTGGGAGCGGGGGAGGACCAAGATGATCTTAAAGATCCCTTTCAGCCCAAACCATTCTATGATTGTATAGACCAAATATTTTTTTTGTTGTTGCTAAGGTGCATTGACTCTAATAAGTAGATAGTTTATATGAAAGATAACGAGTCAAGTAATTGACAGTGTTGCCTTTTTCTTCAGTGATCACTGGGGACAGAAGAGTCCCTGACAAAGTGACTTGGAATAGTAATTTTGAGTCATCTTCTGGTGGGACTGCCATCTACAGAAGATGTTTTGAGAGAGGAAGTAGGTGGCTCTTCAGAAACTGGCAATTTTTTTTTCTAATTGTCAGTGTGATGGTCATACAGATGACTATATAAACAAATACTACATAAATCGTGTTCCTAACGGCTTGTAACCACAGTTGTACTTTAAAAATTCCATTAATCTTTAAAAGGATTGTTGTTTGTAAGAATGGATTTTTACTTCTGATGCTGCTGTAATGTAGTGGTTTATATTAAGAATTGTTCACAAAGAACACCTCTTAAGCTTCTTCTAATAGCAGAAATTATCCTTCATTAAATACTGACAATTTCCTTGAGGAGTTCAGGAAAAAAAAATTAAAAATTCCTTGGCTAACTGTATTCTGCCTTGTTTAAACTGTGCAAATTAGTGAATGATAGGTTGAGTCAGATTTTCTTGAAGGGAGATGGAACACTACCAGCATTTCTAAGACTGAATATATGTATGCTTTATGTTCAAAGGATACTTAATCCACCCACAATAATTGCCTGTAATGTTTATTATTAGTGACCAGAATAAATTTGAGCTATGTCACTTGAGCATTGCTTAATTTGTATTACATTCTGAATTTCACATATTCTTTTTTTGTGTAACTGAGTTTTTTTTTCTGCCATTGGTGATTTATGTGAATTTGAGGCTTCTAACTCAGAAGAGTACTTACACATGTAAATAATGCCTGAGTACTAATATATTTAGACGAAAAAATACAAATACTGATTGCTGAAGTGCAATATAGTCAGCACAAGTTCTGCTTTGTGAGAAGTAGAAAACAGTGTGCATTTAATAGTGTGGACATAGAAAAGTGTTAAGAAGCTACTGTAAGAAACAAGTTATTTTTTGCTTTTGTGACCAGAGATCCTATATTAAGTCAGTCATCTGAATAAACAATAGTCTGAACAAAACACAAATATGAACAAACTTCATTAGACTAGTTAGAAACTTAGTGTGTTATGTTTTATTCAGAGATCATGATCACAGGACTTCTGAATCAGCTTTGTATCTTTAAAAATTGGTTATATTGAAAAAGGCTTACACACAGAGTTGGCAAATTGGATCCAAGCTGGAAAGCATCTTCTGGGACAGGTAAAACTTACTCTCTAATCTCCAGCTTCCTCTTCAAAATATTTGGCTTTTGGCAGTCACAATTTGAAGACTTCCAGAAGTTTTCATTGTTTGCCATCCAATGTGATAAATGCTCCTTCTTTTAATTGTGGCGGCAGAAAACAAGATTTTATTTGAGTATATGGAAACATTTTTACAGCACCAGAATTACATCTAGAAACTCAGTAAAATGGTAGCTCTGAAGCTTAATGAAGAAAGTACTTACATAAAGTATGTATCTTTATAATTACTGTTTCTCAGAGACAGCTATCTTGCACGCACTGCTTTGATCTTATACATAGTTTGAGAATCTCTCGCTTTAGTTTGGAACAATACATAAGTCCATTCTCTTTTGGCGATCTTTCTGTCCCATTTTATTTTATTTTCTTAAGGTTCAGTGGTTTCCTTGAACTCTTAGGCCTTATGCTGTATTCAGATTATTGCTGGACTACAGAAGGCATCTTTTAGTTGTTTTCTTCTGCTTTAATCACTCTTAAGTTGACCCTTGTTCCTTAATGAAGAAGTTGATTAAAAGGGCTTGTTGATTAGAATATGTGAATGTTTATGTTAAAAAAAAAAAAATTGCCAACTAATAACAACAATGAAAGAACTCACACTGTCTTAAGAAGGTAGATGGATTTAAAAACTGCCATCTAGAAATAGCTAGATAGTAGGATTGTTATTTGTGAATGCAGATTTGCTATACTCTCCATCAAGAATGATGCATAGTAACTATTTTATCCAACATACTTACCTTGCAGTATCTCTTGCATTAATTCATCAGCTATTGCCTTTAATAATTAAGAATGTTTGCATTACTAGAAAGAGCTATTTGTACTTTCCAATACATACATCAATGTATAACTTAATTCAAATTTTTGAATTCTAATTATAGTATAAGTTGAAGTGACCATAACACTTGTCTTGTTCTTAATTAGTTTGTGTTTAATGGATAACAGTACCTTTGCAAGATCTGTTTTGTTGCTGTGTTCTTAGACTGTGACAATTTGTAACAATAGGATGAAGAAACTTCTGATTTCTCTGCTTTTGTCATTTAAGTTGTAACTCTTTTCTGTTTCTTATGTATTAGTCCATATACTCATAGGTTAAGTTTTTTTCCTTTAGCCTTACAGGGAAGTGGAGTTCTATTTGTTTAAACTTAAAAAATACTCAGCCATAATCTTTTCTGGAGTGTTAGGAAATTGTGCTCATCAGGGATAATTAAACTGTTTCATACATCTAATTTCAATACTACATTTTTATCATAATAAGTAATTTCAGTGATGATTTATCTTCCAAATGATATCAGAACTAAAGTCTTCCTATATATACTGCAGGTTTTAGAATGCTATATGTTTAGAATTTCTGTGAAACTATTCTGAAAGGCTCAATAATTTGAGCTTCTACAGTAATTATTATTTTTTTTTACTACAAATAGAGACGAATCTACATAGTTATACAATAAATCAAATCAGATGCTATTGATGAAAGCTTTTAATAGTGTTTGGAAACTATTGAGTCATGGCCAGAACCACTGGTTGATCACCTGGGAAAGGACCCAGTCAGGCCTGGGAGCACAGGTAAAGGCAGTTCAGTCTTGCGACTGGGAGGGGTGCAGCCTGGCTTCACCTCTCTTAGATGCCATTTAAGGGCTGACTGCCACTGTGGAAGGATCTCTGGTTGGAGATGTCTCTGTTGTGGAGTCCCTTCTGTGAGCCTAGGTCTTTGGAGGTGGGTGAGCACCTTTACTTTTCCTTTGAAATACTCTGTCTGCGCTGGTCCCTTTGCTATTTCATTTATGTTTTGCCCTTCCACTGTGTTAATCTTTCCAGTTGTAGCAAATAAATTCCTAAAACTAAACAGAAGTCACCGTAATAGCTTCCCTTGAGATGACTTGCTGGATGTTCTCTTTTTCTAAAAAATATGTTTATAAATATAATTCCCAAACTTTAGAACTGTGTCTAGTTCAGAATAGCATACCAGCTTTCAAAGTGAGTGAAAATTACTGTAGACCAAACAGATTGATTATTGATATTTAAGCATTAAATTGTAATCTTGATTTCTCAGCCATCAGTAGGGTATAAATGTCTACCACTTTTTAAACCTGCTGAGATATAATAATTCTAGGTTCTGTTTATTTAAGGAGTCCTGCGTTGTGCTCGCTTATCCAAATAGACCCTTGAAGCTAATTGACTAACCTTCTTGAGAAGGTTTTGTAATATGCGGGTGTTAGGAGAAAAACCCCAAAATGCTTTAATCGCATCTGTGCCTTTTTTTTTTTAATGAAGGTTGTGTATAGTTTTTTTTACTTTAGGAAAAATCAGTTTTAAAATCAAAGGTGATTTCTGAGAATAAAACACTATTGTAAACTATAATTAGAAACTTGTAGTATATAGCACATCTTTTTCAAGTTTTTAAAACAAAAGTCATTGGGTATCTTGTCCTTCTTATAGAAGAACATGTGGACTTGTTAATGATGGTAGCAGTTAATGGCCTGTGAGGTCTTTCTACCTTGTGGTGCAGGTAGCATAGCCTAGAATTTCTCATGTTGAAGTGCTTTAGTATGAAAAGCGCATATCCTGATCGCGTAAGTTAAATCTTCTTTTTATTTTCAATGCATGACTACTTTTTAAATGCTGTGAACAGAATAGCCTATTAAGATTTCACCACACAAAGTTGTTATTACTTTCTTAAATGATGACAGGAACAATGGGAGTTCTTTACTGCTAGTAGTTTGTTTCTGAAGTTTGCTAAATATGGAAGAAATATGAAGAGATCACTTTTTATCATTTAGTGAATTGATATGACAGAATCATGGAAAATTTAGGTAATAAAGAAATTTCAAATTAAAAATTATAGTAACCTTAATTTCAAAAAGGGCACCAAGTAAATTGTCTAATAGTCTAAATTGGAAAATGTAGACAGCAGCTTGCAAAAATAATATTGTGTTTGCAAGAAAACAAGGAATAACATAGTTTGGAAAGCACAGGCTAATGAAGGAAAAAAATTAATCTTGAGTTATGCTATGCCATCTGGTGTCTTTCTTTCTTCATCTATCAAAAGCTGTTCACATTATCAGAGTTGTATTTTACGTGAGACCTTTTACTAAGTGTACTTATGCTGCATTAGTGTCAGAAACTTTAAAATAAGAAAGTAAAATGAAAAAAATATATACTTCTAATAATAATTGTTCTTTAGAAATCCTGGATGTTCTATTTGTGTGTCATGTTTTAGTGTGAGCAAGTGTTATAAACTTTCAGTTGGTTCAAACAATGAAATGACGTGTTACTGTACTGAGTAAATACTATCATTGTGTAGAAATAAGTATATTATTCCTTTTTGTCATGGAGGAAGGAGACAAAAGCACTGCACGCTTTCTTTGTAAGAGGAAGGCAGAAAGATATGTATTGATTGTTCAAATTACTATCTTATATCTATTTATAACGATAACAATGACTTAACAAGATTTGAAATGGCTAGATATTCTTGACTATTTGCTACATGGAGGGTAGGGGGTGCATGATGAATTTAAAATAAAATCTTAGTGAAGCTAGTATAGCTTAAGAACAATAAAAAATCACTTACTGAGGATCTGTTGGCAAGGTGCTACCATGTCACTGGTGCACCTCTGTGCACCTTGAGAAATGTCCCTACTCAAGAGGAGATTATGGGTGTGCAGCCAGCTGCTTGCAAGAACTGTCCGGGGGATTCTCAGACTGCTTGCTATTTATGGGGTAAGATGATTGACTGACTCAGTCATACAACTTAGAACTGCTTTTGTGGAACTGGGTGTCTGTTATCAAGTGTCTAAGCGCTAGTAGTGAAACCCTGATTGTTATTACTGCCAAGGGCAAGGTCTTTTGCACCTCATTTTCCCCATGAGGCCTTGGGCATAACAACCAGGCTGGTTTGGGGGGGCTGGCAGGAGGGCAGGCAAGGACTGCACCATCACTCTTGTACATTTATAGACAATACCAGATGCTGGAACTAGAATATGTTTGTGTGTCTCTAGTGAACCAGACTTACTGTTAAAAATCTAAATCAGGGAGGTATCTATTAATGAGCAGTGCTTGAACAAATGAGTAACTTCAGTTTCAATCTGGATTAAATAGTAACCTGAAAGTAAAGCCAATTTAAAGCTTGTGAAATCAGATACTTATAAAGGACTGCTAGGTTCTTGTACAGTTTTGCATACTTTACATATAAAAGGTCACCATTTTGTCTCCTTCTTTAATTAAAAATTAATGAAGACATTCCTAGTAACCTTTATGAACCAATAAACATGTGTATTGGTAGAACCGCTTTCAGAAAGAGTCAAGCATTAATCATTGGAATTCTGATCATTACAGAAGGTTTTGATTTATTGTTAATAACTTCTGACTATTAAATAAAAGAAATATGAAAATCAAAGTAAACAATAAAAGAAAATACTGCCTTAAACTTCGAGCTACTTGAAAAATTTTAGTTTAGATTCTTATAGCTTTCTGATTATTTTTTTATATCAAAGCATAAAAGTGAAACATGACTATATGCAAAGCAGTCCAGATACTAAGTAAGTGAATTTGAGAGAACGAGCATGTTAACTGACTGTTCTAACAAATTTATCTGTGGAAAAGGTACTCTGTGATAAAATTAGGGTTCTCTCTGTGCTGGTAGTGGACAAATAAGGAAAACATAGCATATGATTAACAGTCATTTACTAGCCTTTGTGATTGTCACTGTTCTCAATAGCCACACGATTGCAGTTAGTAAATGTTGGTTTGAAGAAACCATGATAAATTAGAAGCTCTGTTATGAAGTAATGCACGCTTTTCTTTGGTAAAATTGATCTGAGCTTCTTATGCCTTTTCTTTCTTCTGTCTTTGCCTGTCATATTAGCTTTCTTGCTGCCTTTGGTTTTTGTTTACTTTGAGTAGAGTAAGTGTAAAAGTAGCTATGATAAAATGATATGTCATTGCTGTAGTCTCCTGTGTTTTTTTTGCAAGTGAGAGATGTAAAAACATAAAGGGAATACTGATTGTGCAGAGACAGCTTTTATCAATTTGTGAAAGTCTTACGCAGAATTGTTGTTTAAGAAAGATCTATAATCAAATTTTATGCTGATAGGAAATGCTGATCTTAGAAGTTTCTATTTGAAGAACTTCAAGCAAGATTTATAAGAACTGATCTTAAAATAGCTTTCAAAATTCACTTCAAATGCTAACTGACTTCTGAATATATATATATACACACACATATATATATATATATACACGCATATATATTCTTATATATTCTTATTTGAAGCTGAAGTCATTTTCCAGGCTAGACAGTATTGAGATGAATTATGGTGTCTTCTACATACTTTATCATGATTTTTTGTGGAGTCTAGATTTTGGAAAATAATAAAAGCATTTATTAAACCTCTCTTCTGTTAGGACTTATTTAGTTTACATGTGCAGACTTGTTTCTTTCTGGAAATTCATGATCTGTGAACATGAGTTGAGTTGGAGTGTGTGTAATTTGGAGACTTACTTAGACCTTCAAGTGATCTTCAAATATGTAAGTGGTAGCTAGGAAGTGGAATAGAATAAAGCAGTTTTCATTCACTGTGGATGAGAAGTAATGGGCTTAAATGGCAGTGAAGCAAGTTTGATTAACTATCAAGAAAACCTTTTCTGAGAAGAATACTGGCATTCAAATAAATTGTGCACAGAAGCATGAAATCTCCTTTATTGAAGGTTTCTGAGAATAAATTAGACAACTAACTGTGGGGAATAAAATACAGCTGATTCTGCTGTATGCAAAGGGATGAAATGTCACGAAGTTTGAAATGTCATTTCTCAGCCCTGTTATCTGTAATTTCTATGAGGCATGAATAGTTCTGTGCAACTAATGTGAAATGATGTTTTGGGAGAGTAATTACAAAAAAGAAAAACAAAATATAAGCTTAGTTTTCAAAGGGCATTATTAGGAGCTGGAGTTGCTATCTATGTAGCTGTAGTTACAAAATAGCCAGATTCTTCTAGGTTTTATTTTTTTCCTGTGAAGATTAGAGAACTTGTCTAAACAGTGCATACAAGAAAGTTCCCTGCAGCATTTTTTTGCAGTATTTGTGATATTGTTTAATATTACAACCAATTTTGATACTTCTAAGAACTGTTTCTTTTAGAACTGCTACTTTGAAACAGTTTGTCATCAATGTTTATGTAATTTAATGTTTTTAATTTGAGGTATCTCTTTGTTTTAGTTTTGCCAAACATCTGGAGCACTGATGGTGAACTTAGTATTCCAGAGCAAAAGCAAGTAGAAAACAATGAGGAACTAGCCAGCTCTTATGAAAGAAAATTGATTGAGGTAAAGTACGCTGCACAACATCTGAGTGATAGTAATGATAACATAGCATTTGAAGCTGTGAATGTTTTCTATCTTTTGCTTTTTTACCCCCATTAGTCTAAAATAAAATTCTTATTTTTGCTCTAAAAATTAAAAGCTTAATTTTCAGACTTCTGTTGTTAAAATGCAAGTTTATTCTTTCAACTTCAAAGCTAATTTAAAGCAATTCACGTGATTGAAACAATAAAGATGTATGTTCATATTTTGTATTAAAGTTGATTGGTATAAAAATGTGATATTGCTTACAATAAAAAAAAAGCATACTTGTTTAATTATGTTACCTTTCAACCTAACAGTGATTTCATGTGTCAATTCTGAACTGATTTGTTCTACTGCATTAAGAAATACTGCTTTTATGTAGATTTCTTAAGGTTGCAAGCAAACCTTAAGCAAATTTCTTAAGGTTATAATTGATGATGATGAAGTGGTCAGACAGTAGGTTTCAGGCATTGTATAAGCTACAGTACGTTGTTCACAAGCTTTATTGTATTATGAATTGAACTTTAAAGATTCCTGAGGGCATAATGAAATCTTTTTTTAAACATTCATACAGCTTTCTGATTGGATCTTTTCTGATTGTGTTTAATTTTCATAAAGCTTTACAGTGTAGCTTATGGAGTACTGTAGTATGGAAATTCTTGATGGAAGCTACCAGTTCAGTTGATGTTATCATGTTAGAAAAATTTCCTAATACAAGATTCAATTCTGTAAAGTAACATAAAATTCATTAATTGCAAAAAAAAAAAAAAAAAAAAGTAAAAATAAAAAAGAGAGAAAGATTATGGATTCATCTTAAGTTTAAATAAAAATGACTTCCCAGATGGAAGTAATGGCATTTAATACCCAAATCTCCTATTAAATATTGAACATTTTTATAGAAATAAATCATAGAATCATAGAATGGTTTGGGTTGGAAAGGACCTTTTAAGATCATCTAGTTCCAACCCCCTTCCCTCTATACCATGTTGTTCAGAATCCCATCCAGCCTGGCCTTCAATGCTTCCAGGGCAAGAGCATCCACAACATCACTGGACAACCTGTTCCAGTGTCACACCACACTCAGAATTTCTTTCTAATATTTAGTCTAAATCTATCATCAAGTTTAAAGACATTTATCCTCATCCTGCTGCTACCTGCCTTTATAAAAAGTCCTTCCCCAGCTTCCTTGTAGGCCCCCTTCAGGTACTGGAAGGCTACTATAAGGTCTCGTCAGAGCCTCCTCTTCTCCAGGCTGAAGAGCCCCAATTCTTTCAACCTGTCCTCGTGGAAGAGGTGCTCCAGCATTCTGTTCATCTCTGTGGCCCATCTCTGGACCTGCTCCAACAGCTTTGTGTCCTTCTTGTGTTGGGGCCCCAGAGATGTATGCAATACTCCTGGCTGTGTATCATGAGAGCAGAGCAGAAGGGCAGAATCACCTCCCTCGTCCTACTGGTCGCACTTGATGCAACCCAGGATACGTTTGACTTTCTGGGCTGCAGGTACATGTTGCTGGTTCATGTTGAATCTTTCATCAGTCGACATCTCCAAATCCTTCTTGGGGCTGCTCTCAAGCCGTTCTCTGCCCGACTTGTATTCGTGCTTTGGATTGCCCTGGCCCAGATGCAGGACCTTGCACTTAACCTTGTTGAACTGCATGAGGTTGGCAAGGGCCAACCCCTCTAGCCTGTCCAGGATCCTCTGAATAACATCCCTTTCCTCTAGCATATCAGCTGCAGTTTTAGTGAATATTAACATAAATCAGAGAGGAGCTTATTATATTCTTAAATATTCTTATATTCTTTTAAATACTATATTACTTCATATTAAATATTCTTAAATGCAACACCAGACACTTTGAATTGGAATGAGTGGTTAAGCTAGTTTGAAAAATAATTTACCCAGAATTATTGGAATTATTTTATTGCTTTATCTACATATTCAAAACTAGCTTGGATGCCTTCCTGAGCAACCTACTGTAGAGAAACCTGATTTAGCAGGGAACTTAATAATCCCCAGATGTTTCTTCCAACCCCTGCAATTCTGTTATTCTGTGATCTCAGCCTGGAAAGCCTGAGTGGAGTAATCTATCTCCAGAAGGAAAAGTATGAACTCTAAAGAGATTTGGCAAAAAAAAGTCCCTGTGCTATTGCTGAAGTAAAGGATTGAGGTTTATCCTATTCCACTCAGCTCCTATTAATGTTACCCTATAAACCTCTGTATTCTCCTAGTTTTGATGGCTCTTTGAGATGTTGCAAGAGTTGCTGTAACCTGAAAATTATGATGTTTAACTGTATTCCTACTGTAGTCCACTATGCCCACTACCAGGGCCAACCTGCCCACCCTGTTGCTGTTTTTTAACCTCTCCTCTTAAGTGCAGCTTTTCTTGTTACGCCTTAGGAGTGCTTATCTGGTATTTCGTCTATGATTCTGGCCCACATCAACATTCCCTTTTTATAGAGAATGTAGAAAGAAGTTTCCAAGTAAATTATAACAGTAGGATTTTCTAAATGGAGTCTTTTTTCTGTCTTGAAAATAATTCTACAAACTCTTCTTGGCTCATATTTCTTTTCTGTAAGGCTTATAAGCGCCATTGTCCATTCAAGACAAATCCCTTGCCAGATACATTGGGTATTGATAGATAATCTCAGAATTGAAGTTTTCATTCAACTTCATTGTCTAGTAGTTCTGAAAGGAGTAATTTTTTTCAATTTAGGACACATTTATCTCTGTATTATGTTTTTCAGGTGGCTGAAATGCATGGGGAATTGATCGAGTTTAATGAGAGGCTGCACCGTGCTCTAATGGCTAAAGAAGCTCTTGTGTCCCAGATGAGACAGGAGCTAATTGATTTGAGAGGGCCAGTAAGTGTTTGTTTATTAAGTAAGGAATATCATTCTTGACTTAGCTCAAAACTGTTACTGATGTTGAAGTAAAATCTGTATTAGCTTATCAGAAACAGCAACTGGTGAAACATCAACCAAGAGTACCTTATTTGGTATTTTTGATACTTTTGTTCTCTTCAACAGTATTGAATCTAAGGCAGATATGTTCAGAGAATAAAATTGCTTGAAGTATTCAAATATAAGGGTTTTAATTTTTTTAACTGAGCTTTCTTTGAAAGGTTAAACAACATTAAATAATTGATAGGTTTCAAAATATGAGGTCACCTATATCCATAAATCTACAGCGATCAGCAATTGCTGTTCTGAAGTTTTATAATGCACCTAGAGGCAATGAAATTTTCAGTATTATGCTCAGTCATTTAAAAAAAAAACTATGAAAATATGATATTTCTATTCTGTTTCTTTAGTCATTATGCTCACCTTCTTTTCCTCCCTTTAATTTAATGCCTCTCTTTGCATCATGAGCTAAAATCCCTTATTTGAGGGCTGATCCATAAGTAATACACATTTTATTATGTTAGCCCACAACATCAGAGGTGGATGTTAGTGAGATGGCAATAGAGGTTGAAAATTCCCATTTGCTGAGGACTTACCATATCAAAGTTTCTTACAAACTACATTTTAAAATGAAGATACTGATTATGAAATTTCAGTCAATTAAACAATGGATAGCGTCACTAATATTTTTTTTCTAATGTATTTTTCAGAAGACAGTGGCTATAATGGCCTCCTAACAGCTGAATTCAATTTACTCTCAATCTATTATATTTGTCTCTAAGATTCTAAATAAAAAATATTCCAAATGCCTTCCTTTTGCAAAGCCAGATTTGCTCATTCACAAAGTAATTACAACATAAAGACCTTGCAAGTGTGATATGTTTAAACTATTGTGGCATGATTGCTTATTTTTTTGTTTCTTAATAATAGTTTTTATTGGGATTTGCAACTTGAGTTGAATTTTAATTTTCTTATAATATTATATGTAGAAAGCATAATAATCAAAATGTGATTTCTGTTATGTAAATATAGGTCCCTGGAGATTTGAGTCAAACATCTGAAGATCAGAGTCTGTCAGACTTTGAAATGTAAGTTTCTAATATGCATGTTTTATGCATTTATGGGAAAGAAAAATAAGCAAGTGAATAGATTTAATTCCTTTACTATGTTATTTCAAAAAACTGAATTCTCAGATGTGATGCTTCTTTTTTTTTTAAAAAAAAAAAAAAAAGGAAAAAAAGAAAAGATTGTGGAGAGTTGTACAGTCCATGCCCTGGTATAGTGTTTAACAAAGTTAAACAAGAAGTTTAGATTCGTGAAGATCTTCTTGAAACGTTCATCCAGTGTCCTAGAACTTAATATTCTAAAATAGTACCAAGAAGTTATTGTTTTCTATTGTTTTGATTTTAATAGATGCTAGACTCATAGTGTGATGATCCTTCTTGTCTTCTCATCTCATTGCATACAAATAGCACTACAAAAAAAAACCCAGTAGGTCATCACCTATCAAAGTGGTGTGATTTTGAATGAATATAGCTTTCTATGAATAATGTAGCTGGTGTCTTTACAGTGTAGAAACCTGAAAATTAATCGTGAAGGGAGTGGATGAAAATGGCTTCTCTGTAACTATCCAATGCTCTTCTGTTTTTTTAATGAGCTCACATCTTTGCTGTTGAATGTTATGGACCAAAATTTTGATCTTGTTGAAATTTAATAATTAAATGTTGACTACATTGTTTAAAAAAAAAAAAAAAGCTTCAGTTTTTTTTTCCCAGTTATGTTAATTTTGGGGAACTGTGCTTCTTTGATCTGGGATGGTATTTTTTTCTGTGGTGTGGTGATATCTGGTGTGATGCTGGTTTTGGTTCTAGGAGAAAAACAGCACTGATAACACACCAGTGTTCATAGTTTCTGCTAAGCAGTGTTACATGAAGCGAAAGGCCCAGGGAGCTGGGAAGAAATGGAATTAGGACAACTGACTTGAACTGTCCAAAGGATTATTCTATACTATATAATATCATGTAGAAGGAGTTTTGAAGAGTGGGAGAAATTCATCTTGCTCTCTTCTACTGCTCTGGGGGCTAGTTGGGCATTTGTTAGGGGGTATTGAGCAATTGTGCATCACTTCTTGTATATATTCATATATGTGTGTGCGTGTATATATAGTCATAACTATTGTCATTTTCCTTTTTTCTGTCTTAGTAAATAGTTTTATCTCAACTCATGAGTTTTACTTTTTTTCTGTTCTCTTCCCTGTCTCACTGGGAAGGGGGGGCTGAACAAATGACTATGGTGCTGATGGCTTAAACTATGACAGGAACTTTGCAATTTTAATGCATAAACATGTTTCTCTGTTTTCCTTGTTTAAAGTACTTCTCTTATCTACTCAGATCAAATCGAGCTCTTATTAATGTTTGGATTCCCTCAGTGTTTCTGCGTGGAAAAGCTGCTAATGCATTCCATGTTTATCAAGTAAGTAATTCTTTTTAACGTGGATGCTATAGGTAAAGTTTCTGACTGAAGTGGACAAAACATGTGCTACTCATACAGGGAATTTGATTCAGTGTTGAAATAATGGAAGAATGTATTCACCAAGCTATCAGGATGGAATGAACAGATGAGGACTGGGAGTAACAAATAAGATAAATGACTGAGCTCATTAATGAGAGTCCTTTTATTTATAATACAGTTTATTTTTGCTGCTTTATCATTTATTTCTCCAATGGCAGAAAATAAAAATGCAATTAATTCTTTGTATCAGCTGTGTGAGAAATCTGTTTGTAATACATCATTCTTGGTATCAGTATTGTAGCATGTTGATATTATTGAGATCATTTCCAATATATTTTGGAGTTCAAATTTTTCTGAGTTCTTGAGGAACCTTGGACATAAAAACTGACTGCTAATTGTGAGAAGTTGTTGTCAAATAAATAAAGGAAGCTGAAATGTGCCAGTTGGAACAGGTGAAGTTTGAGATTTGTTTTCAATAAGTGTAAATTTCAGATATGCTGTTTATGACTGTAGTTAAAGATACTGGGAACAATGCTTAGCCTGTTTAAAAATTAGATTTTATCTGTGAAACTCTTAAGTAGGATGTTAGAAACATAGAATTCTTAGAGTCGGAAGGGACATTGGAAGGTCATGTAATCCAGCTCTTCTGCATTGAACATGGACACCAAAACTAGATCAGATTGCCTAAGGCCTGATCCAGCCTTGCCTTGAAAATCTCCAGGGATGGGGCATCAACAGCAACACTAGGCAGCCTGTTCCAGTGCCTCACCACTCTCACTGTAAAAGACCTTTTCCTTATATCTAACATCAATCACCATCTTTAAGTTTGAACCCATTTCCCATTGTTCTATCACCACAGATTCTGCTAAACAGTTTGTAACCTTCTTTCCTGTAGCTCCCCTTTAGCTACTGATCAGGTCACCTTGCAGCCTTCTCCACACCCTGAGGTGTTGCTGCCAAATGTCACCAAAAAGCATGGACCTCAACCACTGCTTTCCCAAATGAAATTAATCTAAATATATTTGAATCATGAATTGATTTCTTTTTTGTTATTCAAAAGCTAAAGAGGTTTTCTTCATCTTCCCTCCTCTTCTGTGCTGTCTTGTCTACCTCTGCTGGTTAGAAAATACATATCTCTGGAGCATTCTTTCAGTTGATGTTGAGTAGAAGCCAGTGTCGGATTTGGTATTTCAGATTTATTACTGATGCACCAAAGAACTGTCCCTTTTAATTCATCAATATATATTTCTAGCAGAAAATTAAATACCAAATACTTACCATGTGGATTGGAAATGACCAAAAGAGGTGGATATGTCAAATAATGTGGAAAAGTATGAACTGATTGGTAGACTATCTGTCATCTCTCAACCTGGAGTTACAAATTATTCTTCTTAGCAGTATAATCTGGGTAGCTGTATCTCATCAAAATCAATACCAATTTTGCATTTGTACTTCTTAAATCAGGAGTGTATATATATATTTGTTTTTAATTTTATTGCAGATTTTAAAGCTTTTTCTGAAGGGCATTTCAAAACCTTTCCTTCTGTCATGTTAGTAATTCAGTATGTTTCAGATCTCATGTTCAAAATTTGTTTTCTATCCTTAAAAACAAAATGAACAACAAAAAAAGCAGATGTTATGAATGTAGATAGAATGTAGCTCCAGATTAATTGTTAATAAAAGTTTCAACCATCAGATTGTTTCTTTAATTTCTGTTAAAGATTAAGTTTTCCAGACAATCTCAGAAATAAAACTGTGCACTCCTATGGCAAGCAATGTTTTGTAATGAATCTTATTAGATGTGGAAATTTTAAGCAGACCTCTGTATTTGCAGGGTTGCATCACACTCCTGTATCAGAAATTAACTGGCAGCATTTAGTGGCTATAAATCTTAAGAATTTAAAGACAAAATCTAGAAACAGCTACATTTTGTGCTCAGAATGAAGTTACAGTTGCGAGAAGCAGAATAATAAGCACTTGCATCTTAGCACCATCTAGAATTTTCTTTGAAATTAACAAAAACCATCTACTTGTATCAGTAAGCTGTGGATGCTGAAACTGTTAGGTAGTGTATCATTTTAGTGAAAAAGAGAGATAAAATTGGTTGTGCACTTAATTGCATTTATGATGTTCCCTTCAAATTTTTTTTTCATTTGTTTTCTGAAATAGCACCATTTCACAGTAGTAGGTCAACGTCCAGGTAATGGCAGTATATAAATAGTAACTGCAATAAATAATGATAAAGAAACCTTGGCATTTGTGGCATAGAGCTTTTAAAGTTAAATAGGCATTTAGGGATTTCTTTCCTCTTGCACTGAGAATAGTCATCTGAAGATGGAGAGTCCTGCTGATGAGGTAGTTATGTGTAATGGAGTTCAATTTTGTCATTCTCTAGAGTAACACAAGGAAATTTACTTGTTAAGTGGGGGAAGATAAACTTCACTTTTTGGATCAGCATCTAAGAAATCTTGGGGAAGGTATCAGTCTATTTGGTAATTGGTGACAGGGTAAAGGAGGGTATAAAGGACATCAGAGAGGTGGAGATCCAATATTTTGGCACATGAATGAAATAAAACTTGGAAGAAGTTTTGGATCAGGAGTTGATGTTTCTGGAATAAAGAAAGCTTTCACAGGAGGGACATTTAAATGCAGGACTCAGTTATTGGCACTTCATGATCACAGGAGAATTTATAAACTGAAAGGTAGAGAAGGCTTAGAGTACAGTAGCAATCTTTCATATCGTGAAAGGCATGGAGAGATTTTTATCTCTTTCAATATATAAATTAGAGCATCTATTGAAATTACTCGGTTAGAAAACTTAGAAAAATTCTGACAGTGGTTTTCTCCCCAGCATAATTGGAATTTGAGACTTCTTACCTCCGAGTTTGCAAATAAATTCACATGGATCTAAAAAGTTATTGGGCTAATTAAATTGAAGAAAAATCAAGCAAAACACAGATGTTACTTTTTTTTATCAGGAGATCTCTTAAGTAGCTCTATTTTGGAAGATGGACAACATTTCTGGATATATATAGCTATATTTTGTGTTTATTCAAAAAAGAACACAAAATACAAAAATCTGAGAAATAAAGTTCAGAATTCACCAGAGAATTTTCTGAACTGTGCAAATGTTGTGATCAGTATGCCTTGCGGAAGCTGACCAGCTGAAGAAACTTGAAGGTCATAATGTAGAATTAACCAAACATGAGTTGCTGTTGTAGTACTATGATAAGAAAGTCTAATGCAGACCTAAAATGGAAATAAGTATGATTAGTAAACCTTTCCTTCCACACCACAGACTCATGCTAACTTATCTTGCCTATAAGCTCACCTAAGTTTATCATCAATAAACATTCTTCTAATGTTTAAATTCCTCTGCAGCTCAACAGACTTCTTGTTTAATACTGACTGATTCATGTGTTTCCTCATATTTCTTTATGTGTTATGTACTTTAAATGGTCTTTCTGGGGGGAGTTCACAGTACCTGAATGCTCCTCCTCAAGCAGGGAGAAAAACTTTCATGGAAATGAAGCCTAAAAGTGGAGGAGAAGAGCAGTATCTGAAACTAGGAGTCTTTAGGGGTAAGGGGTGATGCAGTGGAAGTGCAGTTTGGGATCTGCTCTTCTGGCCAGATGTGCCTGTTGACCTCTAGTGTATATATGAGCCGGCATAGTGTTTTATAATGTTGGCATAGTGTTTCATCAAAGACAGAAATCTGAAGAAGAGAAGGAAAAAATGGATTGCAAGTTAAAATAGTTGAAAAATAGTCTAAGAATTGGGGAAAAAAATTTTCTTTCATGTCTATGTTTTGCAGGTTTATATAAGAATAAAGGATGATGAATGGAATGTTTACCGAAGATATGCAGAGTTCAGAAGCTTGCATCATAAATTACAGAATAAATACCACCAAGTGAGGACTTTTAACTTTCCACCAAAAAAAGCTATTGGAAATAAGGTAATTAAAATAATTCATAATATCAGTAAGAGTTCAGAAAGTAACCTTTCCTTTACACATGCAAAGAAGATGACTATCATTTTCCTTAAATGCACATTGACTATGGGTCAGAGAATTTCTGAACAATTTTTAAAACCTTACATTATCTTTATGGACAGCATAACTACTAGAGCTGTATTTTTAATTTTTTTTTAAAGGGAGAAAGGAAGGGAGGAAGGAGAATTTTTAGAATTCTATAACTTCTTGATATGTATTAGACAAGAAGCCAGGATGTCAGTGCATTATTATCTGTTTTAATGCTAATTTGATAGCATTCTGTCCTTAAACTGAAAAGAATAAAATGAGTTTCTGATTAAGAAAAAGTAGATGCAAATATTCTGGAGGCTCAATGTTACTTAAAAGCTTGGCTATTTATCTGTTGTAGCTACACTAATGTTACAGAGAGTAAAACTGTTCATCCTTTGAAGACCTTAAATGAGAGAAGGTTTTTCCGAAGTACATTATTCAATTCTTGATCACCAAAACTCTAAAATATTTAATAGTTTTAATAAAAGGCAAAAATCTTCAATATACATCCTGAAAGCTGATTTAAGTTATTCATCTTTACAGTGAATAAATAATCTGAAAACTAAATCTAACTATCACAAGTAAAATATGAGGTATTCAAATCATGCTTATAACTTTAAAACTTCTATACTATACCATTGGGTGCTGATTCTCTTTTTAAGTAGTTGCATATTGGCCACTTCAATAAATAAGGAAAGACTTCTTTTAAGCTCTCTTTATAGTCTTTCATCCTAATTACTTTATATACTAATTATTATTTCAGTTACACAATTGATAACTACAGAAGTAACAGTTGAGCAAGTCATTAAAGTTTTTGTATTGCTTTCAACGCGTTAGCTTTGGACAGAAATTCTCCCTTAATCATGTAATAACGCATAATCATTTTCGTCATATCAGGATTCAGTAGTAGTAACTATTTGCTGGGTGCCATCTGGTGCACTCCTGAAAGAGTGCTATGGTGAGATATTAACCAACTGTGTAATTGGTATTGATTAGTGATTACTTTTCTGGCTACTTGCTGTAAAGAGCATGGAAATTACAAAGTAATGCATTTACATCAGTTCCCCTCAGTTTATTATGGAAGCTTATTTCCATAGCCTTTTGTATAGGCAAATTTTTGTCCTAGCAGTAGATGTTTCTGTTCCATGTCACAGTAGATACCTCTGTATTATTCCTAAATGCAGTTTGTGCACTAAGATGAACTGTGTATCTGTGAAAGCTATCCAACAGATCCAGCAGAAATGGTATTATTTGGGACATACTACATTCTGAGATTGTGCAGTGGCCTTGAGATGGTCCTGCTTTCCATGGAAAAGCAAGTTGAAGTAACTGGAATGTATTAAGTTTCAGTGTAAAGTGAACTTATTCACTTGAGAATGTCTGTCAGTCTTGGAATTATGTAGAATTTCCAGTATAGGATGTGAGGTCTTACACCTTAAAAAGTGATAAACATTAGAAGAGAAGTACTCACTCTAGCTCTTTTTCTGCCCTACTTTAAAAAAAAATTTTCATGGGCATTGTTGCCTTGTTGCTTCTTCGATATGCTGTGAAATTTCAGTTGAAGTATTATTTTTCCTCTCTCATATGTTTGCTATACTATTTTTAATGGAATTTTAGCTGTCTTCCTTTATCTAGATTAATCAATATGATCTGAAATTAGTACCCAAAGAGTAGTTTTATAGCCAAATTCTACTAACAGGAACATCCCTCTGCAGTTTAGGTCAGTCTATGACTTTTGTGTCCTTTACAAGTCTTCAGTATTATTAGGTGCCAAAAGAGCACATTGATAAAATAGTCCTCTATCTGTAAATACATAAACATGGCTATTTCTTAAGTTTTGGACAGTGATGTTATGAGCTTTTGCAATCATCCAGTTTGTACTTGAATTATATTATTCAATGCATATCTTCAATACACTTTGCTTGGTACTGTGAGACTGGTGAAGGTGATGTACTTTAAATCAGTGGCATTGAAGGAGGCTTTTGCTGTAATCAACAGCTCCCTTGATACCTGCACTAAGTCTAAGGTGCGTAGGTATTTGTCTCAGATTTAGGGACCCTCCAGGACCTCAAGCAGACACTGTTCTGCGGAGTGATTCAGAGCTGTTACCTGAAGTTGCAAAATATGAGAGCACTGATGAGAAAACTTGGCAGGGGATAGTAATGTAGAAAAGACTGGAGAATTATAGGTTTTAATTCTTATTTTTTTGCTTATTGCAGTAGAAATCAAGAAGATCAGGTTCAAATGTGGAATTGCAGTTTTTGACAGAAAATGAGAAAAGGAGAATTCTGTCTAAAAGAGAACTTGAAGGAATGAGAAAATGAAATACTTGTTAATAGTTGTCACCAAGTAGAAGGGAAACCTGAAATTAATTAACAATTGTAAAACAACAAAGAATCTAATATTCTTACTGTTTAATATATTTGTGCCTTTTACTGGTTTACCTTAAGATAGAATAATTTATCTTACAATTCATTTCCATGATCTTTCAACAAAATAGATATATAAGATTAGGAAGTAGCCTTAACACTTGAGGAAGCACAGAATACTGTTGTTATGATGTTACCAATTTGTCTAGAGTGAACAGTGAAGGTGAAAGAATACTGCTTTGGTCAAGTAACTTTTTATTCAGTTATGAAGTATGCATGTTTGCCTTTCAGCTTGTTAAAATTATCTTCACTGTCTCAATTTAATTTGCATGTTGCAAGTTAGAATTAACGTTGCTTTGAATCAAATCAAAACAGACAGTTACTGAAGTGAGTAAATTGGTAGGAAGTAATTAGCAAGAATGCGTGTAAAGCTTATATTTTCTTATTTATTTCAGTCTCCATACTGTGATGTTCTACTAATGACTGTTCAGTGCTGTTGCCAACTAATTGGCAAAATCTTTATAAGTAGTCCTTGCAAGAATAAATATTCTTCCTTCAGTTTATTCACATTTTGTGCAGAAACAAGAAACGGTTCGTTCTTTGCATGTGTAAGAAATGTCACAATGAAGTTACTCGTGTTTCTGTACATAACTTTTCTAAATTGTAAATAATTTTGATTAAGACTTACGATTTTTAACATTTTAATTGTTTTGTAATATATGTATTTGTAAAATATATTGGGTGTATGCTTGCAGTTTTTTAGTCCCACGATAGCAGTTTTTTTTTAACTGGTCCTTAGACAATGAAAGAAGAAATATATAAATAGCTTGGAAAGGAATGACTCAAAAATAATGTCGTACGGGAAAGTCTTAGGGAAGGAAGCCACTTTAGGCTTGGATGTTTTTGCATTCTGATTCAGCAAAGCACTTCAAGACATCCTAAAATTTAAGTACATTTGACTTGAATTGAAATCGGAAGTATTGGATATTTGTGTTTTTGTACTTTATGGGATTTAGTTTCTGTGGCCTACTATCCTTCATCAAATTAATTAGTCAAAGTCACACTGTTATAGTGAGCTGTGACTTAGAAAAGTGGAGAGGAAAAAAAGAAAAAGCAAAACTTCTAGCTAATGCCTTTGGGCCAGTACACTAAATAATACTTCTTAGAAGTAAGCTTTGATGTCCGATGTCTTTGAATAGAATTAGTAGAAAATTAGGACTCTTTGGTGTTTCAGAATTGGAACACATTTATCAAAGGGAGAAAGCTTTGGAAATATAAATCCTTAATTAGAAGTGAATAATTTGAAGTTGAGGATTGCTTTCATTAATGCTTACTTAATTTGCTATTGGGTGATGTAATATCTATGCCTGAATTCCACATTGTTCTTGATTTTTAAAGTGATTAGATCTTAATTTTCAGCCCTCTTAGTGAGCTCAACTAGTACACTGAGTTATTTTCATATATTCTCTTGTTTGTGGGTTTTGGAAAAATGATGAGTAATATAAATTTGACAGACATGCTTTTGCATTAGTTTGATTATAAAGAAATGAAAGGGGTCTGTTTCTACTGTGTTCAAACCAGGAAAGAATTCAAATTAATTTTATATATTTATCCATATATGTTAATTCTTTAAGAATATTAATGTGATATTCTATAACCATAAAAGAAATATTGCTCTTTGCATTTATCACGTTACTTTGTAAGTGGAAATCTCTGTTCACAAAGGCACTTAATTATGGAGATTAAGTTAATAAAATCCAGTCCACAAATAGGTAATTTAATTGAAGTACCATACTGACGGAAGTAGAAAGAACTTAATCTTTGCCATTAGTATTCTTAAGCTTTCTGTGACTAGAAATTTTCTGTCACTACTATGTGTGCATTAAAGCAGGCTACAGAGTACTTCAGGTTTTGAGTCTTAGGTAAGTTGAAATCCAATGATGTATTTTATTTAAAACTGTGTAGGGCAGAAGCAGTTCTCGTTCCTAGTTTATAGGAGGTGATAAATGGCCATACTGTGTCAGACCAATGATCTGGTCCATCTAGCCAATTTCGCTGTCAGTGTCTGAAGTGGATTTCTGGATTTGTGCAGATCCTCTGAAGCGCTAACTGGAATAGATGCAATTGAGCTTTTATGTATACAGCACTTGGAAAAAGTTTGTTTTTTTCTTTTATTTTTTGGCTGTATCACTGTCTAAGAGAAGAGAAATCAGTAGGAAACCATTATTTTTTATATTACAGAAATTTTGTAGCAAATACTTTATTGTATTATTATAAAATATATTCTAATCTTACTTTGGTATATAGCTTTTTGGGGACTGCTGATTATAGAAGTACTTGGTGTAACTTAATTTTTCTTTAGAAGTGGAGAAAACTGAATATTTCAGATCATGCAAAATGCAGGATACCATTTCTGAAAGAAAAATTTGGTACTCACTACTCTTTGTAAAATATCTTTACATGCAGGCATTATTAAAAAAAACAAACAGGCAATGAGAATCAATAATAGGCCCTATTAGAGGGTATCTAAATAAAATTTTTATTAAAGGAATCTAGTCTTTTGAA